CTGCTATTTTTGTTCAGATCCGACTATTTTCAAATTCATTATTTGAAAATAGTCGGATCTGAACAAAAATATCAGAGGACATCCTCAGCACTATTCTAATCATGAATCTGCCAGGCATTTGATGCGCATTTGCTTCAATTAGGGTGCAGAGGCCAGTTTTACCAAAAAATAGCAGCCGGCCGCCGAAATAAAATATCCAGCCGAAAAAATAGCCGCCACACAGCCACGAGTTTCACCAACAAAAAAATTCCAGCCAACATCGGCCGGAAATATTTGTCGCCGGCAGTCAGCTGATATTTTAATATCGATAATGGTCAAGGAGATTGATAAATTATTTAAAACATGTTTCAAATAAAGTTAAGCGTGTTTTTTTAAAGCAAATACAACAAAGATTGAGAAATATTATTATTGGAAAACATAACATATATTTTCAAGAGTTGTAACCACAAAATAGACCATAATAAACTTGCCAATACAAGACCACCAAATTGTAAACATACGTCATTTATGACGGTCACGATAGGAAGCGTGCGTTTTAGTGGATCTTTTTTTCCTGTCAGCCTATTATTTTTCATTTTTACAATACCTTCAACTTGCAATTAACCTTTTTGTCTACTTTTAGTTGCACCTTGTAGAAAATAATCGTGTCGAACGTGCACGCAATGTATGGACCCCCACTCCCACCTTTTATGAGGTGGGGACTATAATAGATGGGACCCGCTCCCGACGCGGGAGTCGCACCTCTTTCCTAGATGTCAAAAGAGTGGGGAAGAAGCGGCAAACATTGTTCCCAGAGGCGCCACCTGAAGCTGGACGGACAGTTCCGCTGCCGAGCGAGTGAACTGCGGTGCTGCGAGGCGGCTTCGCGCGCACTGCATTACACCTACTTCTAGGTCCATCTAGGACCAAGAGGGCTAAGGATTCGCCAAAGCCTATATGGGTAAAGCCTTGTGCCAAGGCGAGTGTCATACCTCAGGAAGATACCTACCCAGATTAACTGCACCGCGGTCATTGCAGGGCTGAGGGCGGTCGTTCGCCCCACTTCGGCGAGGTGGAGGTCATGCTGCCCGGCTAGGTGGTTTCAGCCGATATGCAGGCCCCGTTTGCCGGGCCCGATCAAGACGAAGGAACGCCACACAGCAAACAATATAAGCTCCGGCCCCGCTACACTGGTCCGGCTCGTAACAATACCTGCGCTAGCTTCGTCGACCGTCGTTCGACTGCGCCCAGTACCGCTCAGTGGAGAGTCCTGCCGAACTCGTCCACGTGTGCCGAGATCATTCGTTGCGCACGGACACAATCGTCCGACGGAGACCGCTTTACATGATGATCGCGTGGTGACCACCTTTTCGCCGGCTTCCACGCCCAGTCGAGCCGTCTGGCTACGCCCCAACCAAATGATCGTTCTAAGCCTTTCGACTGGTTTGCAAAACTCGGGTCTAATATCGAAGTATTTGGGAGTTAGGACACGTTAAATCCGTGTTCATGAACAAATATACATTATGCAACTAAAAACGCCTTACCTACTTTAACTTTTCTGGGCTGATGACAAGGTAAACACCTATTCATTGTAATATTTCTAAAATGTAAATAAATCATGAGCGATGAGCGTAAAAAAGGTGAAAAAAGCGATCAACTAGAAGCTAGCGTGGAAATCCACTGACGTAGGTCGCCTCGTACTGGCGCAGCTCGTACAGCGGCACCGGCGTCTCCCGCACCCGGCCGTCCACCTTGCCCGCCTGCGCCATCAGCCGCTAGAAATGGCTGCGCTGCCGCTCAAACATTAGCGTGACCGCCTGGACGGCCCGGCTAACGCGCGCCGTCCGACGCACGCAGTGTGCCTTCAACAGCGCCGGGATGTCGTACGACACGACCACGTCCACGGCGTCCACGTCAATACCGCGCGCTATAGCCTCGAGCACACCAGCATCTCAGCTGGCGCGCGCCGCCGCCGCGCTGGCCCGCCGGCACTGCCCCAGGGAACTCGGCCTCGCGCGCGCCCAGCACCGACAGCGGTAGCTCCAGCTGGTGCGCTGCCTCGTTCCAGTTGACCAACACGAGCGAGCGCCGCCAGTCGGGCTGTCGGAGCAAATTGTGCATCAGCAGCGGCTTCAGCGGCTGCGGCGCCACCACGTTGAACGACTCGCTCAGCTCGGCCGGCGTGGTGAACCTGCCGACGAACTGACCGGGCAGTGCGACGGCGGCCGGCCGTGCCGGCCACCAGCAGTCGCGGCTGGAACAGCGACATTCGCTCCAGCTTCTCCGGCCTCCGGGCTCTGTGACAGGGTAGCCAAGAACGGCAGCTTCTGCAGCGGCAGGTGAGGCGCGCAGACGGCGGCGGCCGTCAGCCGGCCGGCGATGCAGGGCGGCGGGCCGTGGCTGCCGCCACCCGCTCCACCGCTTTCAGCCAGCCCGTCTCGGCCATCTCGATCACCCGGTCGGCTTCGTCGATCACCAGGTAGCGCAGGTGCGCTAGCGAGAAGCCCTCGGCGCTGGGTATACTTCGTCTCCACCCAGCAGCCGGACGCAGAGCGGCGTGTCGGCGTCGTACTGGCGGAACACGGCGGGCACCTGAGCGGGCAGCGCCTGTGTGGGTAGCACAGCTAGCGCGCGCACCCGGCGGCCGGCGCACCGCGGCGCCGCGCCTGCACCAGCGGCAGCACGAACGGCAGCGTCTTACCGCGGCCGGCCGGCGCCGAGACGCAGAGGTCGGCCGGTGGCAGCGGCGACTCTGCGGCCGCCAGCAACTCGGGCAGCACCGTCACCTGCACCAGGAACACCTGTTCGATGCCCTCGGCGGCCAGCCGGGCGCGCAGCTCGGGGCAGAGCGCCGGCAGATTGGCCGGCACCGGCCGCCGGTCGCCAATCGGCTGCGGGTGCGCCAGCCAGTCGGGCAGCGCACGCGGTGCACGGCCTGTCGGCTCGAGCGCTCCACCTCGTCCAGCACGGTGAAGTCGTCCGCGGCGGCGTCTCCGTCCGACTCGGAGGTGTCCTCACTGTCGTTATTGGCGACGGCGGCTGCCGCTGTGCGCTCAGTCAGGTCGGCTATCACAGCAACACTCGCCGATGATTGGCGTCATCGAAACCGTCGGACGACGGTGGATTCACCACCGTTTTTGCAGCAGAGACTGGAAAAACCTCAGCAATAAACAAGGAAAAACATCACAACATGCCACAGCCCGCAATTGTGCATATTGTCATTTTATTTCTCACATGACAGAAAATATTGGCTGCCTTATTCTAGGAACTGGCATGAAAAACATAAGCTAAAATCAAGCTAAGTGAATTATTATTGTATTTCAACATAAGACTGGGAAAAAATCCTTGTCACTGTCAACATGACCAGCGTAACGGATGGGCTGCATGAACATTTCGGCGCATGATCTGAAAACTCTGTGTGCAGAAATTTCAGCGCTGAGGTGAACAAATAACATTTTGACAATTTGCCTGGTGCCTCCACAATTTAGCAAAACTAACTCACAATACTTACAGCCAGTTTTAACATGATCCCTGCATGACTCATGCATGCAAGATACACATGCATTCAATATCAGCACAGTGCACACTGCACACACATCAGTTATGGATTCATTTACATTTTACAACATTACTATTATTTTCTTTTCCTTCAATATTGGCAGCATGACTTGCTGAGTTCAGTGGGACAATCTTATGACAGCATTCAGCAAGTTTGTTCGGGTTCGCAACCATGCAAACTTTGCACGTTTTGCTTAAAAAACAAGCCTTTATACATTTCTTTCATGCTATTCAATTTCTTTTTTTAAATTTATTCTATCTTGAGTTGAATTATCTTGAATTACTATCTTGAATTATTATATCTTGAAAATCTTGCCATTTTGGTCTTAGCAATGTCAATGCACCATGCCGCACAGCTCGAGTAAGTTCCACCCAAAAGTAGTAGTGGTATCAGTAGCTGGCACCTTGCAATGTCAAATGTAGATGAATATGTGAAAACAGTGACATATTTATTTAAAATCTTGAGTCCAATGAGCCTACCCTCTCTGCCTCTCCTTCCAGCATTTCTTCAATCACCTTCGATTTTCAAAAATGACCTTCCATCATTATTTTCCACTTCCGTGCGAGCAATGAACTTGTAAGCTGACCACTAGTTAATGCGCTATCATCTTGCTGTTGGGTGCTGGTAGCAAAAAGATAATATAAAACGAAAAAACTAACACCACAACACCAAACACCCGTCTTGTTGGTTCCTTTTGGTCCTGCCTGGTGACAAAGGCTCTTTCATTACGCAATATCATCAGTATTCCTCTTCTAATCTTGAAGCCCAGATGCTTTACAAATTGGCCATGAATGATACTAAATTATTATATCAACTGAGAAGCGCAAATCACGATAATTAGTAACAAATGAGGCCAATCATCCCCACAAGACATCAAAAAAATAGACGGGGTCGCCTGTCTATTTTTTTGGGCTGTTTTTCTACATATAATGGCGCAGATAAACACTCCATTAATGCCGCATTTGCCGTTGGTGAAACTCGTTGGCTATTTTTATGGCTGATATTTTTTCACGCCGGCGGATATTTTTTCGCCTGGTTGGTGAAACTCGTTGGCTGGTTTTTGACAGAAAAATTGCGCCGGGCTGCTATTTTTCTGTTGGTAAAACTGGCCTCTGATCTGCTTTTGTATGGGGCCGTACCCAAATCTGCTATATTTGGGTACGATGACGTCACATGCGTACCCATTTTTAGCAGATTTCTGCTAAAAATAGCAGACTGCTAAAAATAGCAGATTTTACCATAGTTTCCCCGACTGAAGTACCTATTTGCCAAAACGCTAAATACACATATAATAATAACCACCACCCACCACCAACTTACTGCACCGTTTTCGCCGCTTTTTCTGCTCAAATGCCTTCAAACATGCTTCAAATCTCATGTTTGTTTAACATCAGCTAGACGTAAATGACGTCATAGATACAAAATATTTGAATGAATGTGTTAGTTTTTTCGTATCAAATTTAGAGTTTTTAGTTTTCTTTTAATTTTAACGTGCTTCAATAGATTAGGATTTTTCAGGTTTCGTTTGGTTAGGCATAAAACTAAAGCAGTCTTTTAGACTCTTTTTTTACACTTGCGTAACAGAACAGCTGATTCGTTGTTTAGCTTTTTACCTGATGATGTCATTTCTTTTAACTTCTTCAAAGAAGATTTGGAAATCAGAAATCTTCGTTTACTGTTCATTTTACTAGCAACTGCTATTGGTGATTGGCATAAACTACGCGACCGCCACCAATGAAAAGTCGAGGAACTGCAGTGTTCTGGTGAATGACAATTGTGAACGAACATAATTCAGCGAAGGATGTCGCTGAGATTACACCGAACGACGAACGTGTGCTTGTATTTTTTGGATGCTGTGTGTGTTGTTTTAGAGTCATATTTTTCCCAGGTTTATGTTTGTAGATATAAAACTTTATCAGAATTCACTGGGATTGTATTGCGTATGCAAGTCCATGACCCAATGTGATGCAAGACACAGTTTTGACTTTTGAGCCGTTAGGACTGGAGTCCTAATAGGAGCTGGAATAGCGATTCATTCATGGATTGTACTTAGTGACCGTCCGTGATGACCAAGTCCCCTTGGTCATCACGGGTCACATTGGTCATCATAGGTCACATTGGGTCTGTTTCAGTCGCACTTCCTAACACCTCTAAACTCCTCTAAGATTGCTTCCATGTTCCACTTTCCAGTGGCAGCTCTAGCTCCTACAAAGCCAAGGAGGGCTGTGCTCGGTAATAGTAGAGCAGACGTCACACGACGGTTTTCCAACCAAGGAGAGGCGCTATGCCTGGAGGTACTTCTTCCTAACAAAACCTTAACAAACCTAATCTAACCTGACCTAACCTAACCTACAACCTACAACCTACAAACCTACAACCTACAAACCTACAACCTAAAAACCTACAACCTACAAACCTACAAACCTACCCTACAACCTACAAACCTACCCTACAACCTACAAACCTACAGCGCCTCTCCTTGGTTGGAAAACCTTTGTGTGACATCTGCTCTACTAATGTCCTCTGCTCCAACCTCCTCTATCCTGCTCTTGGAGAAGTTCAGAGGTGTTTGAAAGTGTGACTGGAACAGACCCCTTGCATGTTATTTATTAGTTTGGCACTATCATTTACTGTGATAATGATCATTGTATATTATCTAGATCATCTTTATAGGCACACAGGACATTGTATTGTATGACTAATCCTTCAATAAAATAAGGTTTGAACATATACAATTATAATAGGAAACTACTATTCAACAAAATATTCAGTATAAAAATAATTCTTTTGTGTAGCAGAAAGATGGGAATCATGGACGAGCTTTGGTCCAGTCAAACAATACAAGTTAATAATGCAAAGATGTCACCTTAATAAATAATATAATTGATCAGCATAAGGTTCTCATGGGTAATTTTAGAATACCAAAGCCATTCTTACCATGCAACAGGCAACTTCCAGGCAAATGTAAGATGATGCCCAAGAAATCAAGCTTATATATTATATAAATCTAATAGGTACCTACTACCTACCTACCAAATGAATATTGATATTCAAATTCATGTGCCTAACATTCTGCTTCATGTGTCTCACTTTTACCATGAGAGAATCCTGACACCTCATCTATACTTTTTCAGACATATATGAATAAGTGAACACTGAACTTGATGCTGGTGACTGGCAGTGCTTCAGACAGAAAAGTTGGACCACTTTTAAAGGAAATGAAAAATTCAGCAAAGCATCCAAAGGTATTAATTGGTATAATGGTATAATTGGTACCTGTAAGAAATGGTAATAGACATGATTGTGGACATAATGGTGTTACAAAAGCATGTGATGGTCCATAGACCATAAGTGACAGTTAGTAAGTACCTCAGCGCCAGTCTCTCTTACTAGAAGTTGTGGTTGCTAGCACACAGTTCTTTCTAATCTTCCTTCCATCAGCAGCTGGCACCCACTGGCCACTGATACTTGGCCTCGGAGGCGTCCAGCTGTCCTTGTCTCTCGCGGACGGTTTGCGATCGTAATATACAGCGGCTAGCCAGCGTGTGTCGCTTCATAGTGCGATGAAAGGGCAAAGCGGTGTCATCTCATGTATCGCCGTAACGCGGCCCCCTTAGGTTTACTGTTATAAATTGAGTTAGAATATTTGAATGGATGGATTGTCAGAGTCAGAGCCCGATGTTAAGGGCGCAAAATGACCTTAGTCGTCGGCGCGCCCTAAAGCCCCAATTAACAATAAAAGATTCAGAGCCCACGCTCAGCAGAGCTCGTTTTTCAGGCCCCGATCCCTTCCCCCCGGTCGCGCAATTCCAGGTGACTTGAGAATGTGGATGCCGATGTTTAACGCCCTTCAAAGCCGGACCTCCCTGTCCTAGGACGGTCACGGACGCAACTGACTTCAGCTGGCTACGGCTGCTTCCACCAACCGCAGACCATCCCCGTCAGGAGTCTCATAATATCGAGCGCTGGAGCGACACGAACCTGGGCTCTCACCACCGGGAGTACAACGCTCCACCAGCTGAAATACGGCATGGATGAAGTATTCCGGCATGGAATACCTAATCCATGAATACGGGACAGGCACTTGCCTGAGAGGCTTTGACCTAACTTCGAAAAAGGCAATTTGATCTTCTCCAACAAAAATTGTATCGATTGACGCGCCTGGACAAGCCTAAAACAATCAACGATGTTGTATCAAACAATGTATCATAACGATATATCAAAGTTGCTACGCTGCGACGATTTTTGATAAAATACTTACCAAAAGCCGGGCTCCGACCCTAGAATCATTGGCGTGATCCTAGCGGACCAACTGACCTGAGGCCTGAAAATTGGCCATTTTTACGTTTTGTGACCGCAAACAATGAACAAAATTGTTTTCTGTGAAGGTCTGGCTCAATAAGCGGCCAAAAGGAAGTTCGTACCCTCGCCATAGATATGTAGAAAACCAATGAAATAGGTCGGGGGATAGTTAGATTAACCGTCCACTGCTTAGCATATATGTAGAGTATAACAAATGCTTCCTACCACTTGCATCTTTTTTAGGTGTCAGTCTTATCACATGCAGCCACACCACAAGGCATATGCATTCTTAGAAAATGGATCATGGCCATATTCCACATTGGTGCATTTCCTCTGAGGTTCTTCGTGGAAAGGTTTCAGAATATATTTCTATATTTCTCCAATATAGTATTTATCCGATGGTAATATATTCCTCCGCTTCTGCTGTTCCAGGGAAGGAGATGTCGCGTCTGCAACATTTTGGTGCCGTCTTTGAGAATAATAAAGGAGCACATGAAGCTTTGCCATCCAGATGATGTGAGTCTTTTTAAGTCTTAGCTGTATTCCTATCAATAACTGTGCCATGAGTTACCTCTCATGACCTATCTCTGATTGTTTCAGCCATTTTATGTTCAAAATTTGTTCATTAATTTGGTTCGCGCATGTGTGGTGGTGGTGGTGGTGGTGTGTGTGTGGGGGGGGGGGGGGGTCCCTTCTGTGTTCCGACCCGCACAGTCGGTCGAATTTGCTCTGAAGCACGATGATTTTTTCTCCTTATCCATCTCAACTTCTTCCACTTCAGTAGATCATTCGGAAATGCTGGATCGATCGATCGATCGATCGACTGTCGCGGTTGTCAGAACCCGGTCGGAGTAATTTAGCTACCTACTCGTGATTGCGATTACCTTGGGTCTTATGTCAGTGTTAGTAATCGCGCTGCTTGCCACATGAAGTCGGTTAGCAGGCTGGGCCGGGTGCGGCTACGCCAGTTAGCTCCACTAAATTACAATTTATACCGTCGCCGGGAATTTTAATATCGGGTAGTCGACATAACAACTCGCGCAACAAGTATCGGTTAGCGTGGGTTCTGGGGTGCAGGGAACCCGCCCATCCAGAATAGCTGGACTTGACTATTGGCCGTTGGGGATGCCTTGCGGCTTACCATATTGCTTCAATGAGTATTATTAAGTAATGTTCATTAGCATTAGTCTGAAATTACCCTTCTTTTCTTCAGTGTTTTCCGTGCGACCTCTGCAGCTACGTGGGTTTCAACTCTCCTGCGCTGTGTCACCACAAGAAACAATATCACAAAGTGCTGCCCAAAGAGCAATTAAAGCTCGTAAGTTCTGTCTCTAGAAATCTTGGTAGGTTACGCTGTTTTTTTTAACTGGCTCAAAGTTCACTACGGTCATAAATGCATGTTGTTATATGCATTATTTTGTCATGTAAATTAAAATGGTTTAAAACATGCAAACCAAAGTGCCTTAACATTAATAACATGTAGACAAATAGACAATATAATGTTTAGTGACACCCCTTTGGAATGCTTAAATCATCAATATTTCCTCATCTGTCTGTCTGCCTGTCTATCCATTCGCTCATTCTCTCTCTCTCTCTCTCTCTCTCTCTCTCTCTCTCTCTCTCTCTCTCTCTCTCTCTCTCTCTCTCTCTCTCTCTCTCTCTCTCTCTCTCTCTCTCTCTCTCTCTCCCTCTCCCCCCTCCCCCTCCCCCTCCCCCTCCCCCTCCCCCCTCCCCCTCCTCCTCCTCCTCCTCCTCCTCCTCCTCCTCCTCCTCCTCCTCCTCCTCCTCCTCCTCCTCCTCCTCCTCCTCCTCCACCTCCTCCTCCTCCTCCTCCTCCTCCTCCTCCTCCTCCTCCTCCTCCTCCTCCCGCTCCCTCCCTCCTTCACACCTTTCCTCTCTCTCTCTCCTGCCTTTCTCCCTCTCCATTCTCATTTGTTGCACATTATTGCAGGCCTGCCGAGAATCGACTCGAACTGGTACATCACTGAATCCGTGCACGGCTGAGTTTAAGCGTGCGGCTAGCCTGCGACAGCACCTAGCAGATGTGCATGGCATCACGGAAGCTAGCCATGAGGTCACGAAGGAGTTTGGATCGGTAGATGGTGAGCATAATGGCACCTACAACATACGAGCGAGCGCGAAATAGGAAACGGAATCTTTCGTCGATTGACTAATGTGTGATGAGATGCATGCGATTCATTCGTACGTTTAAGCGCAATTCATGTAGAAGGTAACGCATTAATTGGTTAAAATCTGCGATTTACAATTTACATACAATTACTTGTTTTTCAGACTTTAAGAGATGGAAGGAAGTGTTTGAGGACGACACGTGTGCAAGATACAACGTGCGCGGCGGGAAGCTGAAAGAAGGCGAAAAAAACGATCATATACGCCTGCTCACGCTCAGGGACTTATGTGTCGAAGGTCAAAGGTAAATGCGATTTGCAACTAAAAATGCTTGTTTTTAAGACCACACATTCGGTGGGCTTTCAGGTTGTGCCGTGCTAAAAGCATCCAGTATAATTCACTGTATTGAAGTGATTTGATTTTTTAGGTGACTTAAATAATATCTTAGTGATACTTTAAAGTCGGTCCTGATGCATAGCTTTTATGTATTACCTAAACTCAATTGAAAGGTACCATCTTAGACATACACTAAGAACTATATTTACACGATATTGTGTAAGGTTATCCAACAGAATTAACAGGCAGTGACAGAAAGCTCCCAATGGTTTGTGTGCTTTCTAGGAGTCCGGAAGCGGCAGCTGAAATCCCAGGGATCTTCCAAGATGGGTAGTACCTGCACGGCGGTGATGTGTGCCAGGACATCAGAAGAGGGCAAGGTCAGCGTGACAGTGCATCCGTTCCACTACGGACACGCGACGGACAAGACCGATCTGCCTTATATACGACTACCGAAGACAGTCAGGGACTTCGCACAAGGTAAGTCGAATAACCTGTCTCACCTAGACTGAGCATCCGCATTCTACACACGAAACAGCTAGAGGAATAACACATACAAAATCTCTAGCGGGGAACTGAGTAACAAACCCCGACAAAACATTTATCTGATCGATGAATGTTGTGTCAGGGTTTGTTGGGATTTCATGAGCCTTCGCCAGGTCTGCGGGATTGCCAGTTGGAGTCTGTTCTTGTCGATAGTTCTGAGTGGCGTCCGTTTCAAAGTCACCAATCAAACCGGCTCTGGAGTTTGGTTCTTTTTTCGTCTAGTAGGTGCTAGTTTTTCATTGGATTCAACATTAACTTGCGAAGTAGAATTGCAATTATTGGTGTAAAAATATCCCTTACAGCAGGCAATGAGTCAGGAACCCAACGAGACGGATGAAACTCTCAACACAGGGAATTTTTGTGATGTTCCAATCGGTAGCTTCCGAGACTGAGCAATGAGCATGTCTCTGAAGCGGCGATCAATTTGTGTTGTGCAGAGAAACTCCTGAAAGGAGAGCCCGCGTCTCGCGTCATTAATGACATCCGTAAGTCCCTGGAGGAAACTGGTGATCCTGCCACTCGCCGTGGGTTCTGGATCGGCAGAAGAGATCTGCGGAACATGTGCAACAGTCTCAAGATCAGGCCACAGACCGAGACCTCCACTCAAAAGGAGCGCGTTGAAATGTCGAGTGAGGAACTGGACAATAAAGAAATCCGTCCTCCGAAAGAGGTTTGTTTTATGATTTTTTTAGGGGAATAAATTGGCGCTTGTAGTTGTTCGGTTCTGGATGACAATACTATAATTACTAACCGATCCGTTATCGCACCAGCAGAATTCATAACTGAGTAAAGAAGGAGGCTCGTGTGCATTTAATAAAGTATAATATGACAATAGTTTTTAATATGTCTATTTCTCTTGATGTAGTATGTAGTTAGTTATATGTTGTCGCTGAGTCTGCATGCTGAAGTAATGCGAGTCATGAACATCTCCAGGTGGACGACCTGTGGCAGGAGCGGAAAAAGCTGTGGCGAGGGCCCTCCGCCCGGCTGTCCGAGATCCGGCAGCGTCACGCGGCGGCCGCCGAGCTGGTCGCCGCCCGTACCGCAGCGGCTCACCGCCTGTCGGACGCGGCCCGACCCACGTGGCTGGTAGGCCCGTTCGCCGAGACGGACCACCAGTACATCCGCATCGAGCAGCACCACCGGCTGTGTCCGTTCGGATGCCAGCTGCGCTGTGAGGACTGTGGTGTGTGCGCGCACCAGTTCACCTGTCAGTGCCAGGATTGGGTGTCTCACAAACTGCCGTGCAGACATATGCACTATCTGTGCATGGTGGTGGAAGACCTGCTTGGTCCTCCAGCTCCACCAGACCAGGAACAGGACAATGCGCCGGGGTTCGCTGAGCTGGATGACACGCCAGGCGCCGCGGAGATGGACGATTTGCCATGTGTTTCGCCGGCTCGCGAGCTACCTCCGGTGACGCCTTCCACCAGCCGTCCCGAGGAAGGTGCCGCGAGACGGCAGCAAGTCGTCACTAAAATGCAGGAGGCATTGTCAGCGATCGAAAGACTGCCGGACACGCTGTCTGAGGAGTCTTACCAGCGCATCCTTGCACAATTGGTCGTTTTAGAACGCCTTGTGGCACTGGAGGTGCGTCCTCAGACACCAGTCCCGGTGCTGCTGCCTTCCACGGAGGACGGAGGGCAGACCTCCAATGCCAAGAGTGATCCCCATCCCACCCCTGCCTCCAAACGCCGGCAGCGAACGGGACAGTCCCGAGGACGGAGTAGGGCAAAGAGCTCCACGGCGCAGCGAGTTGCGGTAAATCTCGTCGCGAGTGACATTGACCTGGAGAACCTATTGGTCGTTCAACAGGACCATTGTTACTGAAGCAGGGCTATGGTAGGCTGAATTTGTTGTTTTCTGTGCGATTTTGGTCCATGTGTGACATATTAATGCTAGGTATCTAATGTGTCGCTTCGTAGCGCCGTGCTGCGAATTCATGGTCATTTATGTTGAAGGCGACGTTGTAGTGTCCGATGCTACTACAATGCGTTAGATCGGTGCTCGCAGTTACCCGAAATGATATTGACTCGTATAATACGTTTTTCGATATCATTGAAGGATCGTATGTTTCTTTCATAATGAGCTCAGATATTGTTTAGTTCTCTGTGTACCTTGTCAGATTGGGGCCTTTTGTTGCAGTGAAGCGTGGAGTGTTAATTGAAGTTTGGGCAAATCTTCAAAATCAAAAAGTGCGAGCTTAGTCTTTCAAAACCCATGTCTTTAAATGTTTTTTTTTTTTTTTTAATCATACAGTGTCGTCTTCCAGTTCAGTAAGGAGTGGCCAGTGTGCATTGCGGCGTCTGTTACAATGCAAATATAAATAACCTCTTTCATATTTTCGTCTCTTTTTCGTGAACAATCTTGAGCGTATGAACATTCTTAGGAAGCACTTCGACATTTGTATGCGTTATGGTTAATTTTTAAGCTGTTAACACTATTTCTGAACTGCGTGCACTGCTGACGTTGCTGGCATGCCGACACTGCTGTACTACAACCCTACATTAAAATGGACTGATATTTTTTTAGACTTCTGGCCTGAACGTGGTGGTGAAAAAGCAATTTGTCTCAACTGCACACAATGTGCATTGTGTGGTCACTGATTGTGATCGTGTGATCGTTCTCATACTCCAAGAATATGCTGCATTAATAATATATTCATTTTACTTCACCATAGAGCACACAGTCGTAAAAATCGCGATAAAAATGTGCGTCCTAGCCTAAGGTATACGAACTAACTACGCATCAGAAAATACACAGTCTTATTTGAGCAATAAACGCATTCTACCAGCGCGGGTAGATTCACGAACGGTATCTGAGTAATAATGTACCGGTACTCAAATGTCCAGCGGCCAGTCCAGACACAGACACCATGTGATGACTGATGACGCAGTGATGACGTCAGAGCTCCCCCCAGAGACTGCCGCCGCGCCGCCGGATCTTGGACGGTCACACAAGGTCAACTGGCACTGGCCATTCAGGACGATACATGGAACAACAGTGAGCATTGGACAATACGAGACACCGGTTGACAACGCTGATTGAGCGGGCGGCAATGGGTCGCGCTCAGCTCTGATTAGAACATAAATCAAACACACAAAAACGCAACAAATCACAATATGATCACATGTAGAACGCCACAAACGTAAATTATTCTTTACTACGTCTATCACAGCATATCATAATACACGGCCACTCAAGGATTCATTCGCAAAGCGTAAATAAATATAATAAATAAGTCCCAAAGTGAAAACCACAGGATCCCGACTTGAAATATCCAACAATTCATTAATCCATGAATCCGATCTGAGGCCGTTTCTTTTAGTGACTGATTTCGTAGGCGCCGAGCGCGCAGGCGCAGGCAGAGGGCAGCTTGAAGGTCTCAATGGCGAACGGCGAGTAGTGATCGTACTCGTCGTACACCAGGAACCGGTGTACCACCGACTTCTGCAGACAGGTGGACTCGTAGCAGCTGGGCACCAGCGGGCACGGCTCCCCGGCCGCCGAGCACTCCTCCAGGCGCGCCGTCTGCGTGAACGTGTAGTCGTGCACCTGGACGTTGTTGACGATGATCCTCCACTTGCCGTCAGTGTCCTGGGCGCGCAGCGGCCTCACGTAGCTGGTGGCGCTGCTACAGAGGTAGGTCTCCTCCTCCAGGCTCTGCAGACGGTCCACGGAGCTGGCTGTGTCGGCCAGCACGTCCTGGTACTGCAGCACGAAGGTGTTGTAGTGCAGCGCGATGGCCTTGGCAATCCGGTGGGTCGGGTACTCGGAGTCCTCCAGGCACCAGGCCTTGGTGGTGTTCTCAGAACAGGCGGGCGGCGCCGGCTTGTGCGCCTTGCCGTAAGACGGCTGAGGGTGTCCGTAAGACGGCTTGGCGTGCCCGTACGCAGGCTGGTGTCCGTATGCGGGCTGTTGATGTCCGTAAGCGGGCTGGTGATGTCCGTACGCCGGCTGGTGGTGGCCGTAGGACGGCTGGTGGTGTCCGTACGCCGGCTGGCGGTGGCCGTACGCGGGCTGGTGGTAGCTGGTGGGCTGCTCGTAGGTGGCAGGCTCTTCAGCAGCAGGCTCAGAAGCAGCAGGCGCTTCCACTACGGGCTCTTCGGCAGCCACCTTGGCAGCGGGCTCTTCGGCGGCCGCCTCCTCAACGACAGGCTCTTCAACGACGGCTTTAACAGGTGCTTCAGCGGCGGCTTCAGCAGGGGCTTCCTCCACCGCTGGCTCTTCCACCACAGGCTCCTCTACCGCAGGTTCTTCGGCAGGCGCTTCGGCAGCGGCTTCTTCCACTGAAGCAGCCTCCTCCGCGGCCGGCGCAGCATCCTCCACCAGCTCCAGAGTCGGGCCGGCTGCCGTCGGGGCGGGCGTGTACGACACCGGGGCCGGCACCGGCTTGTCGCCGGCGGCCACAGCCGCCAGCAGCACGAACAACTGGGCAAACAAAAGCATACAGTCACCGGCGGGAACAACGAGGCACATAGCAGTACAGAATCACCGGCAGGAACAACTGGACACAGCAGCACAGTCGCTGCCGCCAGCAGCGCGAACAACCGGACACACAATAGCACAGTCACCGGCACCGCATGATAAATGTCAAATGATCGACCAGTCAGTCTATGATTGAGTTCTGAGGCGTTCAAAAAATAGCAACGCGTTGAAAAATAGCGTGTCCACGTCCAGCGTCATGACACGTCAGTGCTACATTTGACTGGTGTCGAACCATATGGCCAAATATTAGGCAAGACTGTACGCAGCTTCTAGACATTGTAATGTGGCGTATTTTTATACAGTTTAAAAAGTAATTGGATAAAGTGAGCAAATATGAAGTAAGTCAAAACTATCAGCACCCAGGACTAACTATTTAGGTACTAATTGGTCCAATATTATTTATCAATGCCACGTCTCTTTGCTTCTGTTTGGCTACAATGAACTTTTAACAAAGTACAAACAACAGGCTCATGACAAACCGACCATTGTTGTTGTTTATTGGGGCTTAAGGGCGCGCCGACTACAAGGTCATTTTGCGCCCATAACTATATACAAGTAAAGCAAGTGTGTCACGAGAAAACCGACGTAATAAAAGGCTTAAAAAAGCCTAAAAGCTGGTTAAAAAGAGCAAAGAAGGGTAAAATACTCCAAGCGTATCGTAAAAGACAGCTGACTAGGCGTAAGGACTAGATTAGTATAGACGTATGGACTAGTTGGTTTGGTATCAGATCGAGTAGATTACTTGGAATTTGATTGAACGGATAAAGGAAAAGATGTTGCCAGATAAAACCCAGGGTGACTCGTCACCCAGCAAGTGGCGGACGGTGATATCCGGAGCGATGCGGCCCAGGTAGCGAGTCCGGTCCGGTTCCAAGCGTCGACAAGATAAAAGCACGTGGGCGACGGTGAGAGGCACGGCGCACCCGCCGCAAACGGGCTGCTCATCTCCGCGGAGAAGGTGGCCATGCGTCGCATACGTATGACCGATGCGGAGCCTGCATAAAATCACTTCGTTTGACCTGTTGTCTTGCGAGCAAGACCTCCAATGCTCCAGAGTCGGCTTCACCTCTCGGAGCTTCCTGCCTCCACGCAGGCGCCACTCTGCCTGCCACTCCGTTAGAATAAAAGATCGTACAGCAGGGTAAAAATCACGCGCCGGCAATGGCAACCAACGAGTGCAGGGTGCTGCAGCAGCACGCCTTGCAGCCGCGTCTGCCAGCTCATTGCCATGAACGCCAACGTGACTGGGAATCCAGCAGAACTGAACAGATTTACCCGATTGTTCTACTGACTGAAGCCGAGCTAAAATGTCTTGAACGATCGGGTCGGCTGGATTAAAACTCCGCAGGGCCAACAGGCTGCTTAGGGAGTCCGATAAAATCAAGTAAAAAGGTCCGTCCGATACCTCAATAAAACACAAAGCCTTCTCGATGGCAACAAGTTCCGATGAAAACACCGAGGCGAAAGATGGCAACGAAAATGAACGGGTATCGTCGCCAGCGACGAAAGAACAGCCCGCTCCCTCAGGTGTTTTAGAGCCGTCTGTGAATACAGGAATAAAACCATCGTAAGAGGCAAGGTGTTCCAAGGCTCGGACTCGTGCCTCTGCAGGCAGCAACTTGCCCTTTGGAACTGCAGAAAGCGAAAGATCCACCTGTGGACTGACACTTTTCCACGGTGGAGGGGGCGCAGCCCAGGTACGACGAACGTTACGCAATGCTATGTCAGCTATTGAAAACAGTTCTTTCATGCGCACTCCGAACGAGGGTCGTAACCTTCCGTTACATCGGGTGGCATGCCGTGAAAAAACGTATGGGTACGTCGGGTGCATAGGAAATTGGCGCAGTTTCAGCGCGTACCGCATACCCAACATCTGACGGCGGAGTGAAAGTGGCGGTTCATGCGCCTCAGCAAGAATGCTGCTCCTGGGCGAGGTGCGGAATGCTCCGGTGGCTACTCGGAGTGCTGCATGATGGACTGTATCCAGGACCCTCTTGCTAGATTCACTCGCTGAATCGTAGACAAAAGAAGCGTAATCTAGCTTCGATCGTACAATAGATCGATATAGAAGAAGAAGGGTCCTGCGGTCCGCACCATAAGATGTGCGGGCGACACATTTTAAAACGTTCAGGGATTTAAAACATCGTTCCCGAAGCGTTCTAAAATGTTCTTTATACGTTAAACGACTGTCAAAAAAGATCCCAAGAAACTTCGCCACCGGACGAGTAGGAATCACCTGTCCATAGAGCTGGATTCCCAAGGGAAGGTCGCCGCAGCGGCGGCGGCAAAAGTGCATAGCGACGGTCTTCGTTGTTGAAAAACGAAGACCGTTGTCACGACTCCATCTCTCCAACCGCGTCACTGCAAGCTGCAGCTGTCTGGCCATATGCCGAGCGCTTGAAGCGGCAAACCAAATGGCAAAATCATCCACGAAGAGCGATCTACCGATCGAGACCGGCAGATCATCAGCGATGTCATTAATCGCCACTGCAAAGAGAGCCACACTAAGCACCCCGCCCTGGGGAACTCCGTTCTCTTGAGTAAAACTGCTCGAAAGACTACTGCCAACTCGGACTTTGAATCGACGACCCGATAAAAAGTTCTTAATAAAGAGGCCCATCCGGCCGCGTATGCCGTACTTGTGTACTTTGGAAAGTATTCTGTGTCGTAACACTGTATCATAGGCCGCCTCAATATCAAAGAACAGTGCTCCAAGGTGCTTCTTTTCAGTAAAACAGGTGCGTATCTCGGTGTCGAGGGCTAAAATGTGGTCAACAGGGCTGCGGTGCTTTCTAAAACCGCACTGGGCGTTTGTAAAAACACCGTGATGTTCCAAAAACCAGCTAAGGCGCACATTGACCATCTTCTCCATCAGCTTTGAAAGCGATGATGTGAGAGAGATGGGCCGATAGTGGAGAGGGTCATGTCCCGACTTGCCAGCCTTCAAAATAGGAATGATAGTGGCTTCCCGCCAGGTCTCAGGGAAAGTGCCAGTCTCCCAAAGCGAATTGAAAGTTGCTAGCAGCGCCTCGAGGGCAACTGCTGGGAGATGACGGAGCATGTCGTTGTGGACAGCATCCGGACCTTCTGAGACGCTGCGCAACGAGCTGATGGCAGACGTGAGCTCAGCCATAGAGAAAGGCTCATTGTACATCGAATTTTCAGCTGTGCTGAAGTCCACGGCGGCTGGTGCAGGTCGTGAGGACGGCTCTCCTCGGCAGCGCTGATAGAGTGCACGGCCTATCGTCTCTGCGACGTGTAAAGGGTGGGATATGTCCGTGTTGTTCACTCTTAAAACCGGAAGCGGAACAGAGCTGAACCGGCCTTCAATGCGCTTCATGCGTGCCCATATCTGAGTCGTAGGAGTAAAACGGTTTAAGGAACTCACGTACGTGCGCCATGAAACAGCCTTTGCCTCTTTTAAAACGCGACGGGCAAAAGCCCGCGCTTTCTTAAAAGCGATGAGGTTCTCAGTAGTACTACTCCGGTCAAACTTTCTAAAAGCGCGCTTCCTGGCACGAATCGCATCTCCGCATTCCTTGGTCCACCACGGGACCGGAGGACGACGAGGCTGACTCGACGTCTTGGGTATGCACCCGTTTGCGGAGTCAATGAGTAAACATGTAAAATCCTCTGTAGACATCACAGAGGCGTCGGCTCTGGATAAAACCGTGGCCTCTACGGCGGCCTGGAATTCGCCCCAGTCGGCCTTCCGAACATTCCACCTAGGTGGACGGTTGCCTGACACTGGGGACTCCTGGTGCTCCAGCCACACTGGGAAGTGGTCGCTCCCGAGTGGGTCATCATGGACGGACCAGGTAAGAAGCTGAGCTAGCCGCGGACTGACTAAGCTCAGGTCCAGAGCCGATGTTTGACCGGAGGGTGTTGTAAAATGGGTGCGCTGTCCTGTATTTAAAATACACAGCGCCTCATCGCGGATAAAAGATTCTAAAAGTCGACCACGAGTGCCAGTCGTGTCGCATCCCCACGCCAGGCTATGGGCATTAAAATCGCCGACTACCAGGACCGGAGGTGGAAGCTCATCGACAAGCCGATGCAGCTCAACCACCGGGAGCGCTATACCTGGTGGTAGGTATAAAGAGCACACTGTCAGTTCCCGGTGGTTGAAATCAACTCTGGCGGCCACCGCCTGCAGGGGAGTCTGCAGCGGCACCTGGCGAGCAGGTACGCTGTGGTGAACCGCCAGAAGCACACCTCCATGGGCAATGGTAGGGGTGTCCAGGTCTCTTCTAAAAACAGAGTAGCCCTTGATGGCAAAGGTAACGTTTGGCGCTAGCTTGGTCTCCTGGAGACCTAAAACAAGGGGTGTGCGCCAACGGATTAGAGACTGTAGGTCCTGGTAGTTGGCCCGGAGGCCTCTACAGTTCCACTGTAGAATAAAAGGCGTGGTTAAAAAGGCGCAAAAAGGGCGCGTATAACATGAGGCAAAGGCGCACACAGATACCTGACTGACCACAAAAAAGGTAAAAAGCACCGAGAGAAATGCACCTGGTAAAAAAGCGCAATAGCGCGAAAAAGATAAAAGGATAAAAGAGGAAATGACTAGACTGAAAGACTAGACTAGGTCCTCTAACTCCGAGGAGGCGCTCCCCCCGTAGCGGATACGGGGGTGCCCTGAGCCCTCTCGGTGAAGCCTCCCTTCAGCAGAGGCAGATCGGGCATGGCTCGGGCCCGGCTGGGGCCTTTTCGACCGGGGGGCGTCGCCCTCCGAAGGTGACCAGCTCGGGGGCGTCTGCCGCTTGGCGAGGCGCCCTGGAGCCGCGGAGGGCTGTTGCCGCCCCGACGGGGATGTCGAGGCGGCGGCCTGTGTCCTCGACACAGGCGTCTCTGGCAGCGGCGGTGGTGGCCGCCGCTGCGGAGGTGGAGGAGGCGGCGGGGGACCCATGATGGGCCGAGTCCCCGCCTCAGGTGTCTCCGGGGTGTCAGCGGCGACAGCCGCATTGGCACTCCCGGAGGCGGAGTCGGCAGACGAGGCTTCCTTAGCCTCGAGGGCCTTCTGGACGAGGCGAGCCCTCCTCGCCTCACGTGCCCTTCTCTCCTCCTCCCCCCGCCGCAGAGCCTCCTGCACCGCCGTAGACGGTCGGGGGCGGGGCGGGGTGGGTGGCGCCTTACCCTGCGCCGGGGGGCGCCGACCACCCTGTCGGCGCTGGACGACGGTCCAATCGTCTCCATTACCGTTCGCGGCTGGAGCGGGACTGGGTGGACCCCACACTGACTCTTAATCGGTTTTGACAAACCGACCAAAAACGCGTGCCAGTTCAATACAGTCGCTGACAACTCACCGTGACTCTGAGCATCCCTGGACCGCGGCACTGTCGACTGGCGTCGAGCAACTGATGACCGTCCTACGGCCGGGCCGGCTTTTATAGTGAGCGGGACGGAAACTGACGACCAAGGACCCGCGCGGTAATGTTACGAGGACGGACCGCGGCGCGGTGGATAAATTCGAATCCGTATAGACGGTATAGTCAATAAAACATGTAAAAACATTTATGCCTGACGCCCAGTCAGCGGCCACGCCACGCACTGCGTTCGCGTGAGATTCACTTCTGGTGCTAGGTTCCTGTGCATGTTTGCATTCTCACCATTCGGCAGTTACGCTCTTGTGCGTGAATGTAGTTTCCTAATGTTATTCTGGCAGTCAATCTGTGCTAAAGCTGAAGTGACTAGTGACTGAGTAATGCTAAGTTCCGATCAAGTGCGGCATTTTTATACCTCGGCGGGTGAGGCTGAAATAAGGAAAGCTTTTAGAGCAGTTGAAAACATGACGGTCACGGTATTATCGTAAACTCGGGGAACGTTTCAAGAATGGGTGAAGGATAAGAGAAGACAACGCCTACCTACATGTGTTGTTGCTACATCAGACATTTCGGAAAATGGATACTTTGGACGGATTAAGGATGAGACCGGGTCGATATGTGTTTTGGAATGAATGATAAACAAAAGATTTCTCATAACGGCAGCAGCCGCACCAATTCTTGATCACAAGTCGGCGGAGTCGCGAATGCCTGGCATGGTATGCTGCACCGCAACGCAGTGTACTGCGGTACACTCTACCCCGCCAGGCATCTGCCGGGTAGACTGCAACGGCGAACAAGAGAGGAACTGCAGAGCATACGGCAGACGGGAGTGAGGCTGCGTGAGACGGAATCAGAACTCAGTGACTTTCGAAATCGCTTATGTTTGTGTTTCAAAAATTAAACTTCTTTGAGACATATTGAGATAGTAACTATCGGTTTTCAAACGTATGTTTTCAGATTTCAGACAACCGACAAGCATTACAATTCCACATCAAAAGGTTTGGCTCTTCACGCTCCAAGTTAATATCTGGAGCAAGGATGAATGAAACTGAGTGGTTTTTTTTTTTTGCAGTAGTCTGAAGCCTGCCCTATTTGTTGGCTTTTGGATTTATCATTTTTTTAAAGGTTTGTCATTTCTTTAGGTACTTTAATTTTCACCAGGTGCTGCGCGTAGTTTCAAGAGACCGATGCATTTATGTTTTTTGAAGTTTGGCAGGCGTGAATGAAACTAAAAAATGGGGAAGTGCCTTTACAAGGTTTTATTAAATTTAAATGGTATGATAGAGTGGCATCGCACTCCAAAAGCCCTCTCACATCATCACCTACACATGTGTTTTACAAATATGTTCTTGAAAAAAATGTTCTTCACCATCATCTGCATTGATGATTATTATAGGTATTTGGCTATCGCTCAGACTAGGTCACTGGTCAGATATCACAAATCTAGCTGCATATCCACCTAATAAGCAGTTTTTTATCCGCCGCCCTAATTGCGGTGGTCCTCAGACATCACCTGCCAACCCCTTCCCTGCCGCAGGACATTGGACGACCCACAGCCAGGACTGCCCAGCGACCACCGTCTGCCGCTGCCACCCTTCAGCTCCCCCCCCCCTCCCCACTCGACGCTCCGTCTGCCCACAGACTCCCACGGTCCATTACCACATTCCAGCGATCGATCAGTATTGGGCGGCCCAGCCAACCGCGCACGGGAAGGGGTCGATATGCAGTCCGTGATTACTCAGACTCACGGCTGTAGTCGTCACTGGGCGGTAGCAGCGTCCGCCGGCGTCACGCCCGTGACCAGCGACCGTCACAGTCCGTGACGAGAGGTCACCGGCGGACCCACAGTAGTGTCCTCGGCCACCCAGCGCACGGGCTGCATTACGGCTCCGCGCCGCGCCGCTCGTCCTGTTCATTACGCAGTCCATCAGACGACACAGCGGCGGCGGCGGCGGCGGCATTGACGTTCGGTCATTTGCCGGCCCAATTTGTGTCCGGCCGTGTTCAGTGATGCGCGCTGGACAAGGCCGCCGGGGAGGCCGCAGGTCGCGTCATCAGGAGGGAGGCGCGGTGGGCAAGGACGTCCGATGGCCGCCGGAGCCGCCCGAGGGCGCGCGCGGCCCGGGGACAAAGGATGGGAGCGCCCCTGGCTCCGGCCGACCGCAGACGGCGGGCTGCAGGGGAGCCGCAAACAAAAACCACCGGGTACCGATTGGGACACACCCGACCATAGGGTTTTTGAAGTGCGGAGAATGCCGGCTATAGCAGAGTTCTCGACCGGGAAAAGAATCTCCTTAGGAACGAATACTTTGCATCAGTGTGGTTAAATTCATTTTACGTTAGGGGGAGGATGTAAAAAAAGACCGAAAAGGATGTCGTTATTTACATAAAACTTACTTCGACCATTTTTAAGCACTGTTTTTATATATATGTCACTAGACAATGATGTAGAAATATTAAATGCTGATAAAACTTTGAAGGCATTCTGATATTCGGGATGTTAAATGAGGTTTTAAAGTCGGTTCATATATTTGAACATTTTGGTTACCTATTCGAATGGTTGTCTTGGCGTGTTGTGAGAGTTTGCGAGGTTTGTGTTTCTCTTGCTCCTAGACGTTTGGGTTTGAGGTTATTATTATGAGTCGTGACTGCCGTATGGATGTTTTGATTTACATTTTTAGGATGTCATTATACTTTTCGTTATGGGTGGATTTCCCCGCAACATTACAATCTTGGACACACTGCTTTGCATGGGGAAAGAGAGGGTTGCAACTGGAAGAATTTCCCGACTCGAGCCACTATGCTTCGCAAAAGTTTCCAGCATTGTGTTTCTTCGAATGATATTGACGGAGAGAAGATCAATATTCTAATCAGTGGTAAATGGAAATTGACTCAACTTCTAGGCAATGCTGTGGAGTCGGAGTCGGAGAAGGTGAGAGTTGACAGTTTAAGTCGGCGGAGTCGCCAAAATCTTTCCCACTCTGTTTCCAAAATCGGAGTCGACATTTATCTCCTCTAATTTGTGCTCTAAGTTGCTTGTCGGAAAGTCTTACTCTCCTTGGCCGTTCCAGGGCCTAATCTTACCAATGCCGTGAATAGGATTTGGCAGCACTGGCCGAAGTTACCGGCAATAATATAGAATGTTCTCTTTTTATTCGTGCCCAACTAATACCGCCGAATGTGTTTGATGGGGGTGCACGTCAGAATAGCTAGTGACATTTGAGCTAGTGACTTTTCAGCTAGTGCAAAGCAGCTAGTGCCTCAAAACAGCTAGTGACAAAATCGCTAGCGTCAAAATACCTAGTGAAGCAAAATAGCTAGTGCTTCAAAACAGCTAGTGACAAAATCACTAGAGTCGAAATAGCTAGTGAAGCAAAATAGCTAGTGGATCAAAATAGCTAGTGGCAGAATGGCTTGAGTCAAATGAAAAAAATCCCTCTACTGAGATGGTAGGAAAGACATCGCGGAGGGCCCTAGGTTGGCCAAATTCAAAGTCAAGTATACACGTGCGTTGTCGTAAATGACTTAGTTTCGTAGATTTTCGGTAGGTACCTATGTTGCCAAAGGTTTTTCCCAGAAGACGTAAACGCCCCTCTGAGACCACTTGCGCCCCTCTAAAGCACCGCGCACAACCACGTTAATCTTGCATATTTGACTGAAACTGAAAGTTACTGGTCAGATTTTGAAAGTACCTTCGAGCATCCATGCATTCTTCTTCACCAATTCGTCAAGCATCTGATCGGTCGCAAAAGTATGATTCGGTCATTAGGTCGTACTTACAACTGCTTCTCCTAGCCTAACAATTCTTTTTTTGTGGCGTTTGGATTCCTGCTCTAGTAACCGGTTCTGGTGCATAGCCTTCGAGCCTTCTTCTTTTCCTTTGAAGCCTTAAAGAAATGTTCGCGCGTTTTGGCGCCATGGCCTGCACCTCAATGCCAATGTTCATGTCACAATCTTCTTAAAGGACCCGTCGGCAAAGAATTCACACTAGCTGCTCGCACTTCGTAGGCACTAGCTATTTTGCTTCATTAGCTATTTTGACGCTAGCGATTATAGCACTAGCTGTTTTGAAGTACTAGCTATTTTGTTTCACTGGCTATTTTGACGCTAGCGATTTTGTCGCTAGCTGTTTTGAGGCACTAGCTGATCTGTACTAGCTCAAAAGTCACTAGCTCAAATGTCACTAGCTGTTTTGACGTGGACCCGTTTGATGGTGCGAATGATTATGAATGTTGCCTGAATGAATGGATAAATGATTGTTGAATAGTTATGAATGTTACCAAATGCCGTGAATGCGCATTTACGGCATTTGGTAAGATTGGGCCCAGGGCAGACCTTGTTGAAGGCTGAAGCTAAAGCCCTGCTCGTGCTCCAGAGGATTGGGGGAGTGTGAAAGACAGAACACGGGGGCTACGCTGGTACCTATCCGCTATTGCAGTGGTGCCTTTTGGAATGCGCAAAGGCATGCAAAAGTAAAATCAAGAGCATCACAGACATATTTACTGTGAACGGATATTCAGAGAATGCAAGACCCGGATTCTGCATTGGATTCGGAAGAGTCTATTTTTTTTTAAAGCCAGAGTAGCGGTCGGAGTCTCGAAAAACCGTCCAATCGATAACCCCTACAGGCTACAGCTGAGATAGTGTCACGATAAACTGAGACTGAGCAGAGAGAAGCGCAAACCAACAGTGTCTTTGTCTTTAGTCCTCGCCGGCACAGGGAGTCCCCAGGTCATTTTGGGTCATCCTATACATAGATCATCTGATAGACGGTAGACATATTTTTTGACAAAACGGTAGTAGACGCCACCCCAGAAAGCCAACAATTTAGTCTCATATTGGCAGGCGGTTGAAAAAAAAAATAGTCGCTTCCTACAAACGTCTTGTACCGCGCTCAATACATCAAAGTCAAAGGGCAATACAATTCATTTAATTCATTATTCTTCAGCTGCAATTTGAATTCGCACACTTTTACTGGGCGAGGGCGTTCATACGATAGCTCATTGTGTGGAGTTTATTGCAGATATTGAATACTCCTTTATGTCTTCTATGGGCCTCCTAAAATTTTCAATGTTTTTTTTACGATTCAAGTTAACATATTGGAAGGAGCGATTTATCAAATTATCATACACGTATGCATTTCTGAACTGCGACCAGAATCTCAAACTGCGCCGGCCGTTTCAAATCAAAACCGTCAGAGCCATGAAGGTGTTCAGAGGCATACACATATATAAAATATCCGTGGCCACTGATCAGATCAGCCAGCCGAATGCCCATGGTGAGAGGGACGGACGTCAGTTCCCGGTGCCAGCCCATGGCAGCACTCGATCAGACATGTGCTCGCTTCTCACGGTACCCTCAAACTCATGGTTGTATGACGTATTACTTCCCGGCCTGATTGTGCCATGGAGTGTCGAAACTGGCGCATCCACCGATCATGACGTCATATTTACGTTATTTATCAGCTGCATATGAGGGATAAGCCAACTGCGGACATAGAAGGATCGAGAGGATCTAGAAAGACGGTCTCAGACTCTGCGGGTCAAAATTAGGTGCTTGCTGCGGGTGAGGCATACTCCCAACCCCTTTAGATCCGCCAGTGACTTCCGAACGTCATAAGAACGCCACATGGGAGGCCGGAGGGGGCTACGCCTCCTCGCACTTTTTCGTTACTATGGATATTTTTACAATTTCCTTATATAAGAAATGGCGTTGTGTTTCGTTCCGCTAAATAATCACCGTCCATCATCAACCCTATCAGACATCCATTGGATATTCATCCAAATCCAATTTCATTGGATTCCATTCGACACAAACCTCAGCGAATAATTACCAGCGCCACAGTCATTTCTCAAACCGCCAATCAGCAGTGACAATGACGGCGGCCCCCCTGAGCATTACGCAGAGCTCAGGATCCATTCACATGCCACTCAATACCCGGCCGTGACGGCGCACCGGCGATCAGCCCGTAGTCGAGGAGCGATGCGCAGTCGGAGGGGGGGGGGGATTACACTCATGGTCACCGATCGGGGGTAATTGCCCCCCCCCCCCGCCCGGTCCCATAGATACGGTCCGTCGCCGCCCGGCCCTCCTGGTGGACACACCGACACAGAAACAGTGCTGAGGGTAGACTGCCACCATTACGGCGAGACCGGAAGCTTTACATACGGGCAGGCGGCGGCGAGGATATGGTCTTGGAACTGATTTCAGAGTGTTAACTCCGTAATAATTAAAAGGTGTTTGAAAAAAAGTGTTCAACATCCTAGGACCATTCGCTTCTCTACTTATGTACATTGTACATCCCGGCCAAGGTGTGGGGCTGGAGAGGTGCAAGCTCCGTCGCCATTTCGCCCCTTAGTGAGTTAGAGCTTCGCGGAAAGAAATGAGCCAAACTGCCGCTAAGAGACGCGGCGGCTAGTACCCAATTTAATGCATCAGGTCAACCGGTGACATCGGAGGTCAGGTAAGTTCCTAAATGTAGGGACTAGGGGTTCGCTTTCGGCCGACGATGGTCGCAGAACGGCAACTTTGGCATCACCATGTTCGTATAGCGCGTCGAATGATACTTTTTTGAAAAGGTCAACTTGGTGTTGACCTCAGATCAATCACAGGTCAAAGCCGCTCAAGTCACAAAATTAGCCTAGGGATGTCACATTGCATGCTGACTATTGGCATGTCTTTCTCAGTACTACGGTGGCTTCCCCCGACTTGCTTGCCCAATTTGAACGAACATTTTTTAATGAAAAGTGAAAGGACTTCAAGCGACATGAATGACCGGTGACGTTATATATGGCGTCACGCCAGGTGTGCAATGCAAAACGTAAACATTAGACCTTCCAAGCACACTGTATGAAAGCACGGTTCCATATCCTTCAGGTGGTCTTTGATCGTTTCCGGCGCCAAACTAACAGTTTAGACGTTTCCCCGTTGATTTTTAATACCGAGATCATGTCACAAATCTGACCTCAGATGAGACTTACCAAAAATCCGTCAAATACAGAGGCCTCGCGATCTTTCTACGTCCTGTATTACCTTCCTCCCAAATATCCCTTGAACAACTGCAGATGAACTCTCGCTGATTGTCATATTTTAACTATCTCCGTTCATTACTTGATGTGGTAGGCATGCTTTTGTTTGGAGCTCATCGGTTCATCGTTGACGCCTCAGCGTAAGCAAACGGTAGCCGCTCGTTTATACTGCGTAGGGAAATGTCAGGTAAAATTTCAATGGTGATTATTAGCAATTTTGTCACACAAATACAAAACACAACACACGCGCCTCGCACCTAAACATCAGGAGCGACAGGTGTCAGGTACTGCTTAAAACCGTGACAAATCTCCTTTCCGTTGCACAAAAATGCGTGGAAAATCATCTCAAGCTCAGCTGGTCCCTTATCAGTAAATTTATCACTCAAATTATCTGTACAAAGTTCACAAAAAGGCAACAGCAACCAACATCCACCCTTCACGGCCCTAACAATTCCAAACACCCACGAACAATGACACAGCCTTAATGTGGTCAGCCCGGTACTCACAAGTCGTAACACACTAACAACTATTGTCAGCAATATCACAACACTGTAGTTGATGATTCAGACAAATAATGAACCGCAAGTGCGACTCATTCTGGCAGTGTTATGATGGTAACGTCGTGACTGACTAGCATAGTGCATTGAGCTTTGACTCTGAGCGGACGCCACTTAACAAAGGGCACCGGCACCTCCTCTACTGCGCCCAAGGACGGAGCACACTATAATGTGTTACCGGAGGTGTTTTCCCGAACGCTCACAGGCCACTTTCAGGACAGAGCACACTAAGTGTTACCGGTGTTGGCTTCCTGAGATGTTGGGGGACCGGTCAGACCCGGTCAGTTCGAGACGCACCAGCTCCACACCCTCCCCATACACCAGTACCAGGTCGCGGCTGAAACGGGACCAGGCACGGACGGATGTCAGCGATACTATCAGTAGATGCACAGCACCGCAGGGAACGTGAAGAACTTCAGCCACAATGATTAACTTTTAGGATGATTTAACGAGTAAAAATAGAATGAAACAAAGTGCTATTGGAAATTGTAGCAGTGGATATAAAAAGTGGAGATATTTTGCTACATAAATGCGATGTTTTGATTACAAAATTATTTATTTATTAACAGGAAGCCCATAAAAGAAATGATAAAAGCCACGCGCACAAAGCACCCCACCGCCACCACGTTTCCCCAGCCCGGCGTCGCGCCTGAACTGACCCTTGTCGATCGGTCCAGTGCAGGAGTCCCTTGACGTCGGCCACCGGTGTGAGATGACAGGCCTCCATCGTTAGGATATCGGAGCCGGCCGGGCGCCGCCACACGCAGAGACGCTGGTCGATAGCGACAGAGAGGACACTGCCGCCGGGCAGCATGGCCACGCCTGGACGCAGAGGGGACAGGGTGGGGTGTAACGTACACCTCTAACGGAGATCTGCGACAGAGTAGGGCATCGGGCTGGGGCGGTCTAGCTCTGTAATTGTGTGCATAAACATAAACATGTAGTCGTACTACGTCAGTCGCTTCACTGTTTTATAAACAAGGCACAATGCGGTGCAGGGTGTGCGGCATAAGTACGATGGGTCAAGAGATGTTATGTTGGAACAAACGGACGATGAAAGAAGAATACAGCCGTGTCGTAAATTGCCTTTATACGACTGATTCCGTCCGTAAAATTCAAACACTTTCAATCGATCACTAGCCGGAAAGTAAGCGAACACCAATAAAAGACAACTAAAATAACTTGCTACAGCCGGAGTTACACCTCACACTGAGGGGTGTGGGGTGTAACTCTGTTATACAGTTTGCAGTCTCTCCAACTCCCTCGAGACCCTTTTCTCACCCAACCCAACTCACCAGTGACCTGTGATCCATGCGCCGGAGCCAGCTCCGCTCGGCGCGTCAGCCGCCCGTCTGAAGAAAGCTCGCTCAGCCGGACCGCGCCGTCATCGCCACCAGTGACAACTGTGGCGCAGCCCGCGCCGTCGGACGCCACCTCCAGAGCGTTAATGCCCGACTGGTGCAGCGATGGAAGACGCACAGGATCCACAGGATCGCTGGGCGACTGTGCAGGGTGTGATGGGTGAGACCTGAGGTCCATAGCGCCTGATGGTTCGCTGCTATCATGGCGAGGGTCTGGTACTGAATTCCGAACAGATTCTGATTTCTCCTCTGAATCCAGTGCCGACTCTTCCACAGACTTTTGTCTCACTTCCTTCATCACTCTTTCCAGCTCATGTGTCGACCCTCGTTCGAATCCAGAGTTGAGTCTTGACTCCGTATCAGACTCTTCCGACCCCGTTCCTGCCCGCCCGACCCCGCTCACTTCCTCTCCTGGAGTCATCACCGGCGTATCCCACAGCCAGAGGGCGCCATCAGTGCCTGCGACCGCCAGCCGCTCCGAGCCCAGCCACCGCAGTCTCAGCAGGCACCGGTCGGCCACGGGCACAGAGGCCAGCAGCGAGAGGCGTGGCGCCGGAGAGTCGGCACGGAACCCGAACAGTCTGGGGGTGCGGACAGGGAGTCAGCACGGAGTACGGACGGATTGGGGAGTCGGCACGGAACCCGAACAGCCTGGGGGTGCGGACAGGGAGTCAGCACGGAGTACGGACGGATTGGGGAGTCGGCACGGAACCCGAACAGCCTGGGGGTGAGAATCGCACTCAGTCAGCTCGGAGCGCGAACAGCCTGGGGGGTGCGGACAGGGAGTCAGCAAGGAGCATGAGCCAGCCTGGGGGAGTCGGTACGGAGAACAGTCCGAGGGCATGGGCAGGTCAGCGAACAGAATGGGAAGTAGGTAGTTACTAAGCATGAACAGTGAACAGCATGGGGTTGCAAAGTGGCGGGCATACAGCCACGTGGTCAGCGACTAAATACTCGTATGTCACGCTCTAGCGCATAAAAGTTACAAAAATCCGATGTTTTTATGATAGAGTAAGAAATTGGAGCATTGTGCATGATTCTAAAGCCAAAAGCAGCATTCCCTCTCCCTCTCATCCGTACCTGACCATTCCGTCGGAGCCGGCGGCGGCCACAGTCACCGTCCCGCCGTCCACACGTGCCGCCAGGTCCATGTACCGGGTCTCTGGTGTATCCTCGACCCGGCGCCGACTCTCCGGTTTGACCCTGCGCTCGCTGAGTTGGAGTGCCGCCGTGCCGCCGTCTGTGAGTCCCCAGAGGAGCACCTGACCTCGGCCGCCGGCCGATACTAGGTGGGAAGAACCGGCGGCACACACCGCTCGCACGGCGCTAATGTGACCGCGCAGAGTGCAGAGCGGACGGAGAGACGGAGAGAGGGGTGGGAGGGACGGAGAGAGCGCAGGGCCGGCGGAAATGAGGCGGACTGTGCCGTCCTGACCGGATAGAGCCACCAGAGAGCCGCCGTCTGGAGCGGAGCCGAGCAGCGCCGCCGACAGCGTGCCGCCGCCCTGAATACCGGCCTGGGGAGGCAGAACAGACAGGTCAGAGCCCAGAAGTACCGCTAAACTGAATGCCAACATTTGTAGGGACATAGGCAGGTAAGAGTACCGTAAGGTGGGGCTATTTGAGACAGTGGGGCTATTTGAGACAGTATTTAAAATTGTTATGAAATAAAAACCATTTGATATTTATGCTTAATTTTTGCTCAGGCGATTTACTGCTCAATTCCACACCTCCCTGAGCGAAAATATCACACAAAAATCAAACGATCTTCATTTTATAGCGATTTTAAATACTGTCTCAAATAGCCCCACTGTCTCAAATAGCCCCACCTTATGGTACTGTGCTACCCTGAATATCGGCCTGAAAGACATGGACAAACGAGTCAGAGGTACCACTGCACTGAACGTTACTCTATGGGACACCGCAAGAAAGAACGATTAAGAATAATATACAGTACACTGCATCCAACAATACTGCCCTACCGCCCCCACCCACACACCCTGCCTATCTCTCGCCGTGACAACTGTAGTGCGGAGGTGCTCCAGGGGACAGGTCACGTGCCGTCTGTCCCACCCCACACATCTTGGCCCTGTTCATGAACCCTTCGGCCGCTGCGGCCGGCCGCAGGCTCTAAGCTCCGCCCATTTTTGAAACGTCATCACTCACTCGGCCGCGGCAGCGTTCTATGAACAGCGTCTGCTGCCGAAATAGTTTCCGACAATTGTTTACAACTGAAGCACACCGCTAGATAATTTGTTTACAAAATCGTCTCTATGGCAATACGGCTTGCGCCTATTTGACTTCAGTGCGCCAAGTTCAGTGCAATTAGTTTTCTTGCGGCTCGGCGGTCGCTGGATTGCGGCCGCAGAGATCGCAGCGGCCGCAGCAAGGTGACGTCATACATTCGTCATACTACATGAGCCCCGCCCCTTTCCGTGACGTAATAACCCGGCTGACCGCAGCGACCGCAGCGGCCGCAGCGACCGCCGGGGTTCATGAACAGGGCCCAGTAGTGCGGAGATGCTCAAAAGGACAGGTCACGTGCCGTGTGTCCCACCCCGCCTGTCTCTCACCGTGACGACTGTGGTGCGGAGGTGCTCCAGAGGACAGGTCACGTGTCGTCTGTCCCACCCCACACACCTTGCCTGTTTCTTACCATGACGACTGTGGTGCGAAGGTGCGCCAGGGGACAGGTCACGTGCCGTCTGTCCCACCCCGCCTGTCTCTCACCGTGACGACTGTGGTGCGGAGGTGCTCCAGAGGACAGGTCACGTGTCGTCTGTCCCACCCCACACACCTTGCCTGTTTCTTACCATGACGACTGTGGTGCGAAGGTGCGCCAGGGGACAGGTCACGTGCCGCACGCTGCCCTCAGTCACCCAGCTGAGCCAGCAGTGGCGCTGAGAGACGGAGAGTGCCCAGGAGCGGTGTCCGCCGCCGCAGTCCACTCGCCAGAGCTCCCGCTCGGCAGATACCGACCACAACACCAGCTGATTCTGAAGGAGGGAGATGAAGATGAAGAGTGTCAGAATAGTGTATGAAAGTAGGGGATGGGGAAAGTGCTAGCAAGGCTCGAATTTCACTCAGGAAAGTGCAGATGGCCTGACTGGATTTCTTTGAACAGACCATCTAGAGTTCACTTCTCCATTTTTTGCTTCTTCAATAACTCTGCGAGCGAAAAAAAAATCCAGTGCAGCAATGATTACCATGAAGCGATAGCTACCACTTAACAATCACACCAGCCATTCTCTCCTACTCGAACTCGGACAAGACGAAAAACGAGACAAAAAGTATCAGTGCCTTGCCCAAACTCACGCCATGGAATCCGACGACCGCCTGCTGACCGTCTAGCTGAACAGCCGCCGCCGCCCAGTCCCAGGGCAGTCGCAGACAGCCGGTCTGACGGAGCAGGCCGTCCTCGGCGACCCTCAGCCGGCGGGCAGTACCGTCCCGAGCTGTCACCAGCAGCGTACGACCCGAGTCGGACGGGCCGGGACTGGTGGCGACATCTGGACCGGAGTCGGACGGGCCGGGACAGGTAGCGACATCTGGTCCAGAACCAGAGAGGTGGGTGATGGAGGTAGCTCCGTAGCGCCCGACGAGTCGCCGCAGGGTTTGAATTGGCTCCATCTGTGAAGGAAACGTGAATTGGGGTCAACGACCGATACCTCACTGGTTCGCAAATGGCTGCGAAACAGAATTTTTGTACTGTAGGTGATAGGTCTTGCGCTGACTATAGATTCTAGGCCCAGGCTCGCAAACAAATGGAATTAGGCTATAGCTTTACAACGAGCTCCGCAATTGGTATAGGCGCAGCCAACAATATACGCATGCTGAGAAGAGAGCATGTAACTTACCTGACTCGATAGGAACAAAAGGGAGCACACAAACCTTGTGGCAAGGGTCGTAAGGCAAGCATGTGCCCACGAGCCAAAAACTGTGCGTCGACTGGACCCGAAGGTGAGTACTAGATGCTTGATCGTCCATCAGCCTATCTCCCACACTCTCTCACCCTGTCCGGGAGGAAGACGTACAACCAGCCGTCTCTGTCGGCTGCCACCAGTGTCCCGGGTGGACAGAGGGCAGCGGCCGTCACCCAGCGCTGTCTGCTGGGCGGCAGCTGGTGCCGGCGGCTCACACACAGCGCACCACCGACATCTGTCGGAAAACGGGCGAAGCTGCAGTTACAGCAGCTGACGAAATTTGTCGAGAATCCGCTGAACTCCAAAATAGCTTTTGTATTCCAGCCACCTTATCACTTAATTTCTCTACAATCCCATACATAGGGCCCTGTACTTCATCCTGGCCTTCACCAATCACCATAATAAGTGGCATAAGCTTTGAGCTCCAACCCAGTCCTACCCACCTCACCTGTGAGAACGTGCAGCTGTCCGGCGCCGTCACAGACCAGTAGTTGCCCCGCGTCCACCCAGTGGAGACTGTACACCTTTCCGTCCAGCACCTGACGGTCGGCGGCCGGTACCAGGCGGTCTCCGTCTGTGGTCGGCACAACACAAGGGGTCAGTGGGACAGGTCCATAGGTCAAGGAGAATAGCGACAAGTGCAGCTGGCGTTGCATAAATACAGGCGTGATACAGGCGGAGCGTCAAATAAAATTTGTAGGAATGACGTTGATTGCCGTCGTCAAGAGATAAATAAACCAGACATTGTAATATATCCATCATTTTTTTTTCGTTTTAGTGCTTCAAATCAAAAGATTACAGCCTCTTACAAGAAAGCACAAACTATTGAAGTGGCCTTGATCATTGACACATCAGTAAGGCAGCTCTCCAAACCAAATCCGCAATTCCACTGACCTGTTCTGAGTGTGATGACGTGTCCTTGCATCCCAGCCAGTGCCACCCGCTCTCCGTCCGGGCTGACCGCCAGCAGAGCGTAGCTGGCCAGTCGCGGGTCGTGCAGCACCAGCTCACTGGTCACCCCTCCGTCTCCGCCCCGTCTCAGCAGCAGCAACCGGCCGGCGTCCGTGACGAGCAGTTGTCTGTGTCCGTCCAGCGACCGCAGCGTGCGGGCTCTGTCCCCGGCGGGCGCCGCGAGCAGGCTGGCCGGCGCCGGCGGACCCACCAGCGGCCATACCAGCACCGCGCCGTCACCGCCGCCGGTGACCAGCCAGCGGCCGGCCGGGTCCGCCGCGGCTGCACGCACGCTGGCACCGGCGTGAGCGCGCCACCTCCGCACCAGCCGGCCCTCCGGCGACCACAGACACACCCGCGAGTCCTCACCCACACTGACGACACGACCGGAGCCCACGGGCAGCGCCGACCAGACGCGTGCCTCGTGACCGAACAGGGCGCCGGCGGCGGCGGGCGCGGCGCGCAGCCAATCGCCGCCGACGCGCCGCCACTGCCGCACCGACCGGTCGTCAGAGCAGGAGAGCAGAGAGTCGCGCGCTGGGGAGAGCGTCAGTCGGAAAATGACCCCCGTGTGACCGGTCAGACGGTGGAGGATCGGCCCGTCACAGTCGCCGTTACCAGGCTCCCAAATCAGCACCTGCCGGCAACGGTGGACGTCGGTCAAAAAAGCCCTTCGATGGATAAACGATACAGCACACTGCAAGGACTGAAGTAAGGAAATTGTTGCTAGCAGCCCGCAACCACCTAAGAAATCCAATCAAAGACTGGGAAAAAAACGGACCAAACGGTTCTATCATGACCAACCTCAGATTAAAATTCTGTAAAAAAAATTACCGCTACAGTCTATAGTCTAATACGTGTAACCATAGCCAAACCTAAGCATACCTCCCCCTCACTTCACTGACCTGACAGAATACTGTACCACAAAAGGCCAGCAGACTATCCGCACATGTGGCCGGAGGCATCAGCGCTCCACTATACAGAATACACCTGTCGGGGCAGCGAACCGGTGGCACCACCTGGCCGCTCAGGTCACTGGCCAGCCGCAGAAGTCGACCGTGTGTGTCCAGGGCGGCCAGAGCGCCCTCAGGGAGGGGAGCGATGTCCAGGAGCCAGCTGGTGAGGTGCACCGCCGGCCGGACCACGTGCAGACTGGGGGAGGAGAGGTGGGAGTGAGGCGGGTCAGAGCGCGCAATGGGGTGACAACTCTGGGGGTTGAGTGTTATGAAGTTGGAAGGTAGACAGGACTCTGCTGACCACGTCAATGCAACATAATCTTCCGACAGCGACAACTCGAGCAAAACTTTGATAAGCTTATTTAATCATCATCATCATCATCATCATTTATTTCTTAAAGCTTTCCGCACTGCGCGGCTTTTCTAGCTTTGTGTCATTGTTACAGGATCATACACTCATTAAAACATCAACTACAAATCTAATCTAATAAAAACAAAAGACATAATACACCTATTACATAGCTAAAAACAAGCTTGCGTTAACCATGGCTCCATATCCCCTGTCTACCTATCGTCTAGTTCGAGCCTCGAGGCGCCATTTCCTAGTTCTCTTACGGCAAAGTGCAGTGCTTGTTGTTTCTTTTACTGCGGCTGGAGCCTCGTTCCATAGAGATACTGCCCGGAAATTGAAATAGCGGCGGGCGTGCTCCGTGCGCACCCTCGGCAGCTGCAACTGGCCAGCCTCGGTTGCTCGGGTACTGCGCACTGATACTCTCTCACGGAGTACCACATTCTCTCGCAAACTGACAGGCGCGTGCTGGTTTGTCATCAGCCAGTGCAGCATTCCCATGTCTCGCTCCGCGATCAGGTCATTGATGCTCGGCCACTCTAATTCGCGTAGCAACGGGGTCACATGAGCGGATCGACGAACACCCTTTACAATTTGTGCACGGTGGTTCAAAACTTTTTGCAAACGCCGTTTTTGACCTTTCCCGCAACCTGCCCAGACGGTCATACAATAACTCAGATGGGGGATGACAAGAGTTTCCACTAACATTTTCTTGACACTGTCTGGCAACGATCGGGAAAACTTGGCGAGACCACCTATCGTCGCGTAGCAACGTTTAATGACTGTTGAAATGTGGGCTTCAAAAGTAAGGTTGTTATCCACTACCATTCCCAAAACCTTCGTTGACAAAGAAGGTTCAATTCTTACGTTCCCAATTTTTAGTGCAAATGGGTAATTTACATTCCTTCTGCTAGATTTAATTAGTACGAGATCCGTTTTCGTGGGATTAATTTTGAGGCTGTTGGCTATGAACCACCACTGAGCAGAATTGAAAGTGTTCTCTACCCTATTCTCGAGCTCCGACACTTGCTGCAGTTCACCTCTATGACCGAATTGCACGTCATCTGCGTAAATTACAAGTTTACAGTCATCTACATAACACGGCAAATCGTTACTAAAAATTGTGAAAAGAACGGGTCCGAGCAAAGACCCCTGTACCACGCCATGGGTGATGGGTAGTAAATTTTTGCCCCCCTTTACCCTCTGACTTCTCCCTTCTAACCAATCTCTGAACCAGTGATCATGGATACCATACCATCCCATTTTCTCAATTAGCCGCTGATGCTGAACACTATCGAAAGCTTTACTGGTGTCAGCTGTTGTTAAGCACGCAATTTGACCCTTATCTAAACAATCCATGAAGTGGCTAACCGCATCTAACATCGCCGACTCGGTATGTCGGCCAGGCCGGAAACCGTGTTGCACATCGGTCAGAATCGAATGTGACAGCAAGTATCGGAGCAGCTGAACGCACACTACACTCTCCGCTAACTTTGCGACTACGGGTAAGACGGACACCGGGCGGTAATTACATGGGTCGGTAACACTGCCGGATTTGTGTATCGGGACTACTAATGATGCACATGATATGATTCGTTCTGCCATAGCCCATAGGGGAGGGCTAATTGAGGTAAATGTTTATTACCTAGTTAAAATAAATCATGGAACTACTAATGATGCACATTGCACAAGATCAAATGATCAAATATGTGAAAAGTAGCGCCGAATGATCAGTTTGTTTTCTCATGATCTAGCAGCCTCCAAACCCCGGCTGTGCAGCCCCCTGGCCCTTCACTCTCACCATCCTCCCGTGTCCAGGGACACCTGGCATAGCTGTTTGCCACCATAGACAATCAGCTGACGGTGTTCGGGCGGAGCTCCGCTGTCGTCAGCATTGTGCACTGGCAGTTCGGTGACGCCGTGCACCCGAGCACCGGTAAACACAGTCAGCTGACTCAGCTCCTGGCCATTCTCCAGCTGATAGCAGCGAACGCAGCCACCCTCCCCTGTGAGACAGAGACAAGGGACTTACATCAGCTGAGCTCAGAATGAACATGGTGCCTTTGAACTTTGAAGGAAAGGGGAATCTTTTCAGAGGATTAAGGTTGCTAGCAACTTTGACAAGTAATAGCAACTTTGACAAGTTATAGTTTAATTAATATGTAATAACACCCATGATTTATTCTAACTAGGTAATACACGTTTACCTTAATTACTATCCTTCCCCTAATGGGCTATGACAGGACGAATTTGTTTCAATAATGCTCCATATGTGGCTGCACAAATGACAAAACATACAAAACTGCAGTCAGTTCAATATCATAGCTAACATTGCAAAAACTGATAAATAGATGTCAAAACAAAATGTGTGGAGACGACAAGAACAGAGTTAGAAAAGAGTGGGACAGCTTAGAAGAAAGCATGAATAAAAGAAAATATACATGTGCATACTCACCAACAAGTAGAAAGTTATCAATGACATGAAGACAAGTGATGGGAACCGACATTGACTCAGTAGACATCTCTGCCATATTTGGCATATTTCAGTTGGGGAAACTACGAGGAGCCAAACAAAAATTGGATTAGCCAATCAGCGTCTGGAGTGGGCGGGGCGATGACCATATATGGTCATAAAATCAGACAACTTCATCTTTTCAATGAATTTTAGCATTCAAATGAAAAAATAAGGCATAAGGATGTTTTTTAACCACACAAGGCCTACACTCACCCGGTGCATAATTAATTGGCGGCTCTAAATCGCAGAGTTACAACGCAAGGTCAAACCGTGATTGGCAAATATGGCGGATTGAAACACACGCGCCAAAAAAATGTAAGCAGTACCGTGGTTTAAAAATGTCATTATTTTTATTATTTTGTTTATGGTTTTTCTAATTGTAGTTAAGTTATTATTTTAGAATCAAGGGCGGCGCCACCGTGGGGGCAGTGGGGGCAGACTGCCCCCACTGGCAGGAGGCCGTGGGGGCAAGACTATGTTTTTGCCCCCACAAAGTTTGGCTGATGTATGGGAACAGAAGACCGGTGCAACATTCATTATAGGCGGTTATGGTAGTACGCCTGTTTTTGACGGTCCTCGTATCAAGTGCGTCAGCAGAACGTTCGTTCTCGGATCGTCTGTCGCATATCTCCTATACTCCCACTCATTCTCCTACTCATTTTCATTCACCAAAAGGCTGCCCTCGAGCTTGATCTCGAGGAGGTTGAGAAGCAGTTTATCAAAAGTCGGCCAGAGAAGAGATCACCCTCTTTTGGGAACCCTTAGACTGAGACTGAGCTCAGAGAGGTATGACAAAATGTGATAGGTATGTATCTCCCGGGTTATCTGGAATTGTATGTGGGTCGCCCTAATGGAGCTTATTCTCGTACCTATATCAATCGTATGTGAGAGAATCGCACATATATACGTACTATGGGGAAAAGGAGAAATAGGCACTGACTATAGTTTTGAGGAACACACCATTTTACATCTCAACGAACAACATAACGTTTTCACAGTTTTGTGTCTCGCAATCTAGTTTTATAGTTTTATTTCGGCCGGGCCCGGGGGTAATCCTAACCACCGCAGCCAGGGGTAGCCCTCCCCCCCCCCTATTTAACTCCGTTAACCCGCGCCCCACTGGGGGGGGGCTATTTATAGCCCCTCCTCCCGTTTTTCTGCAATAACTTCCAAACCGCTTGACGGATCGACGCGAAACTTTCGGTACCTTCGGCTGCATCAATTTGACACCTTGTGTCAAAATTTGAACTTCGTAGCTACCATAGGCTGGCCGGAAATGACGTCAGAGTGACGTCATGTTCGTCCGATTTCGACGCAAAACATTGAACCACGGCAATCGCTCCCAAGAGCTCAGTTTTTAAGCTAGATCCAATTTCCTTGCATGAAAGGACTCAGAATTGACCGCGCTATCAAACTGCTATCTCGGATTTTCAAAATTTTGAAAATTTCGAAAATTGTATATAATAATATTCAAAATTTATATTTTTATATTTTTTTTTTTCAAAACGTTTTTGACTTTTCGAAAAAAAACGGAATATATGTGACAGAACGCATGTTCATGACTAACTCTAGCAAGTTTTAGCTAAATATCTTCAAAAATGGCCAAGTTATACGCATTATTGCAAAAAATTCACAATTATTAATTTTTCAAATCAATTTTTCAGTACGTATTTGACATCGTACACCAATATAAATGGCACCATCGTGTTCCTGAGCTCAAACTGCATCCAATAGACACCTTTATTGTTGAAAATTTTACCTTCAAAATTTGACCTTTTTTGACCTGAAAGTGACCTGACCTAAGCTAAATTCGACTCAAAATGACCTCGAATGACACAGACGACATCAAATTCGAAATCTATGGCCTAAATGGACCATAAAACATGTGTCACGTGACCGGCGCATGATATAATATTTTCGTGACCTGTGATGACCTGACCCTGACCTGAAAATCAAAGTACAAGTTCGGCACCCTCAAGGTATCTAGAACATCTGTTCACGAGTGTGGAAATCAAAAATTAGCCTGATCTGACTTGTAAGACGGCGGCCAGAGCCCAAAATGTGAACAAGCCAAAATGCTAATAATTTTTACTTTGACCTGACCTGTGACGTCATCGGTGACCTCGAGGTCAATGAAATTAGGTTTTGCTCGACAGTTTTTCCGGGGCTATCAGACGCCGTTTGAATTTTGACGATCGGCCCAGTAGTTTTGGAGTTAGGAGGGGGGGCTATGAATAGCCCCCCCCCCCCAGTAGGGCGTGTTATACACAGACCCCAGTGGGGCGCGGGTTAATAAGGCAGCTACGGAAACAAAAATGGTACCAAACGAAAAGTATCTATGAGAAGATTCTAAAGCACCTAAACTTTTTGACCTCAGGTCAGTTTTCAAGGTCAGAGTTCAAGGTCAAAGGCAAAAACCGGCATTTATGTAGTGGTCTCAAAGTACGTGTTCCAGAGGACGGCATGGTGCATAAAATCGGCTAAAAGGGATGTTGGACAAAAGAAGAGAATCCGTGGATTCCGATGATGTGCATAACATTCAAATTCAAGGTCACGATCATGCTCAAAATTGACCACAAACTTTGCACTTTTTCTTATATCTTGTATACTAAATTCCGAGATGTTTTAATATGTTTTCAAGCTTAGCGGACCCCTATTTGTGCTTTAGCTTACGATACAAGGCTGCTACAAGGTCAAAGTCACAAGAGAGTATCCTTGCTGGAGGCTATTTCACTATTCAAGTCAGGCATAATAATTAAGCCATGTTTGCCATACTGAGGCTCTAAATGAATGCTTACAGCAAAATGGATGCCAGAGGCCCAGAATCGTGATCAGCGGCTACGAAATCATCACAAATGACCTTCCATGTGTAAAAAATCAACCAAATGTCATTCGAGGTCACATGAGGTCAACATAAAACTTGACCTTTTCCAAACAATATATGTCATTCGACGCGTCTCGACAAGACTAATGTGAAGGTACCACTGCCGTAGCTCCAGGACCATTTTTGTTGAAGTTATTTGCGAAAAAAGAAACTAAAGCCCCAGCTCGGGGTCGTTGCCCTGACCTCTGACCTCAGGTCACCAAAGTTACTTAAATATTTTTTTTCTAGGTCAAATGCTACACAACCGTGCTCGTAATTTGTCTTTATCTCTAAAACTCAATTTTTGGCACCTGGTTGAAGTTCACGTCTGTGACGCCGAAGTTTGCCGTGCAGGAGTCTAGAAAAATCGGCCCTGAGACATTATCAAGGAGGCTAGGTGCAAATTTTTTGCTTCAAAAGATGTCAAATTAATGGGGGGATAAGGTACAGCAAGTGTCGGGTGCGTTCGGAGAGCGCAGAATATTCCCCGTCATCGTGAAAATTCCCCGTGTTGCGTTCGGAGAGGGACATTCCATACCGCCAATTTCAAGGATCGCCGCTACTGCGCCAAGTTGAGTTCGTGGGATTTTGTTTGGGTTATTTGGGTTATTTGGTTATTTGGAACGCTACATCTTTGGCAAGATGTAATAAGAATGAAGCTCTTGAAGAAAGAACAACTAAGAAAAATCACAATTATTTTCAAAAAGTCCCATATCTGTACCGTGCCCCCCCCCCCTCCCCGCCCACCCCAAACACACACAACACAACACTTCAAATTATCGTTTTCATTGCTTCAGAGGACAATCACACAACTGAGTAAGCATTATCAATTGTTGGATTTGCAATAAAACTGATCAGGGTGGAAACAAACGCAAGAAATATCCATTTAGGTATATTCAATAATATACTCACTCGAGCATACCGATGGGCGCCGCCATCTTGACGGGAACGACGCGTGAGATGCTTTTTAGATTCCGCGCTTTCCGCGTCCGTTCCGTGGAACTTTCCCCGGGAATCGCTCTCCGAACGGCACATTCGGCGGAAATTTCATGCCGGCGTGGAATATTCCCCGGGAATCTGCCTCTCCGAACGCACCCTTCGTCTTTCTATCCCGAAGCGTTCGTGAGGTATCGCAAATATTCGTCAGGGGAGGCGAAAAACGCCCCCCCCCCCTTCCGGACACGCCTAAGAGCTGGACTTTTTGATGACGTCTTCAGGTGACGTCATGTCGTGTGTGACGTTTCGTGAGCAGGTAAGGAAAAGTCACCACCGCTGGCGAACATTGGTGCGGTAAATGGCAAACACAAATGCTGCGCAGAAAAGACAAATGTGTAACTTCACAACATTCGTTCGGACGACAAATGTTGATGTCAAGGCGAATCAAGAAGTTCTTCATGCGATTGTTAGTTATCTGTCGTGCTATTTTAGTATGATTGTTATTAGCAGTTGTTTTGTGAAATGTATTATCAAAATCAATGTTTATTGAACGCAGATTCAGTTTATTTTCAGATGTACCTAGGTACCCTTACACTTCACTCATCTCAAGCTGTTCAAACACCCTTGACAAAGTCGATTAAGATGAAATGTTGGGTATAATTTATACTGTGTTTTCTCTGCATTATTAACATATTCATCATATATACAATATAAGGGCCACATGCTTTTTACAGGGAGACATGTCAGACAGCCCAGTAGGATGAGGCTTCGTCAAGCGTCATTTTTAGCAACGCTTTTCTTGCTTAAAATCCAGTCTGCAAAACATGGCAGGGCTTACACTTTGGCTTACACTTGACTCCCAGCTGTTGTGTCTTTGCTATGCGATGTTAAACATATAAAACATCTTACTATTCATGTATGCGCCATGACTCATGTAATCTTTTCACAGCCAAGACGCTCCTAAGGTACTGGGAATGTGGGGAGTGCAGCAGCATCAGTGCAGCACCGATGGTCGGATGCGACGGCTGCGATAAATGGTACCACTTCCGTTGTGCGGGACTGACTAAGGAGCCAGGTAAGCGCAAATGTTTTCTGTCTCAGTATTTTTGTTGCAGCTATAGTGATCAATGAAATATTTTCCGCATTGTTCAGCCAAACATGTATTTCAAACAATCTGCTTCCCAACCGAGGGCGTCGCCACAGGGGGGGGGGACGGAGGGGATCTCGTCCCCTCCACTTTTTAAAATTTTAACATTTCGCCTATGGCGTTGCATGGAAAGAATCGACTTGAAATGGTCCTCGTCCCCTCCAAAATGGTCAATGTCCCCTCCAGTCGTCGCACCGTGGCGTCGCCCCTGTTCCCAACTACACAAATTTAGTCAAACAATGTGCCAATATGGAATTTTCAGGTTCAGTTGAATGAAATAGGAACAATGATAATTGTAGATTACGTATACCTGCAAGAGAGGAAAACAGAATACATTGTATTGCTTGTCCTTCACCGATACTGTTATTTTTCCATTTCTAGAAACACCGACATGGCGATGCAGGTGGCGCTGCCTGGTGAGGCCGCGGTCTCCGGAATCGCCTGCAGACGAAGTCACCTGGCGTCCATCTGCACATCACTTGCAGCAGTGAGGCCTGCTGACAGCGTCTGGCAGTGTCGGCAACGTGCCAGACAGCTATCTGGAGTCCTGCTCACCGCAGGTCGCCGACAGGAGGGGCGACGCATCGTCTCCGAGGTCGCCTCAGCAGCAGTGAGACCCCACTGGCCGTCTTCTTAGGCTTCAACTAGATTGCGAACAACCTATGCTGAGACAACGCCCATGACGTGTGATCCGGTACCGCTACCGCACTGCGTGCCTGTGCCCGCCGTGAGCCGCTAGTGCATGGGTTCGACCATCAGAATATGTGTTTATGTTGCTTTTACTATTGTTTATACGTTGAAGTGACGAATTGTTTATTTTTCGCAAGCCTCCGCTGTCCAGTTGCCTGCAGCTCCATTGCAACGCCAGCTGTACTGTTGTTTTAATGTTGTCTCTCCGCTCAGCTGTGCTGTTGCCTCTCCGCTCATAACAACCTATGCTGAGACAACGCCCATGACGTGTGATCCGGTGCCGCTACCGCTCTGCGCGCCTGTGCCCGCCGTGAGCCGCTAGTGCATGGGTTCGACCATGAGAATATGTGTTTATGTTGCTTTTACTATTGTTTATACGTTGAAGTGACAAATTGTTTATTTTTCGCAAGCTTCCGCTGTCCGGTTGCCTGCAGCTCCATGCAACGTCAGCTGTACTGTTGTTTTAATGTTGTCTCTCCGCTCAGCTGTGCTGTTGCCTCTCCGCTCATATATGACACCCTCTATATGAATGGCACTACTGATTGTCACACCCGGCCACTGTCCGTATTGTCCGTAGTGGTGTCTGAGCAGTAATCGCCACGCACTTTCAGAATGTGGATCGCTCATGATTGTTCAATACAATAAAATACAATACGCCCATGTTCATACAGCGTGCAGAATCCAGATTCTATTGAGGAGAGTTGAGCCAAGTCACCATAGGCTCGGGAAGAGAGCAACGTGGAGGCCCACTGCCCCTTCCCCGGCCCCCACTGGGGGCGCCAGCCACTCCAACTTTTGACTGGATGTCAAGAGCGTCGCCACGAGGGGAACGAGTCGCCGGCCAGCCAAGGTAGCCAACGGCGTGGGAAGGTTGCCTGACCTCGAGGAAACTGAGATGGCACCAACGGAGGTTTTGTTAAGTAGGCGACCAAAATTCGACCAGCAGCAGCCTGGGCACCTTCACAGATGCAGTGCCGCGTATCAGGGCGCCTTCGACGTTGAGCTGGGCGCCGATCATCAGGACGCCGGGGGAATATGACCCTCGTAAATATGTGCCTCGGAAGGGAGACCTAACCATAAAACTGAAAGCTCGCCGTATTTTGTCCGCTATTTTTCGAGCAGGTCCATATATTTCCGTCCTCAAAAGTGCGGGGATATTCCCCAGTGTTTGAGTTGGATGGGACTATACCTAGTAGCGTTTACACCGACAGGAGATTCCCATTGCCGGCTGTGGGAAACTACTGTCGGTGTAAACGCCATTCATATTTCCTGCGTCACCCCTGTGGGGACGCCCTTACTCCATGGTGCCGAGCTTATCAATTTGGATATCAATGGAATCAAAATCTCTTATCGATCGATGAAGAACTAAATTACCCCGACCCGGAGAGCGTCTTTGGAATCAAAGCAGTAGCACATGACGCAAGACTTCAGGCAAATAAATCCTTCTTGTCTGAAATAAAACATTTGTGTATTGATAAGCACGTTTTATAAGCAATGGTAGCAAGATTCTCCATGTATTTAGTTTAAGTGATAATTTAGTAGCAGATACTTACCGTCGCATTTCGTTTTTTTATTTATTTAATAATTTGTATTGTCAGAACTAGCAACATGTCTCTTCACTCAACAATAATTACAAAAGTGAAAAGGAGATGATAAATTGCTTATATTTTGGTGAAACTAAAAATTAATTCAGCACACATTTTTTTTACAGCGTTGAAGTCCAGCTCCAAAGGACAGCTGACGATCGTAGCCGAGTAGGCTGTTTGGTACTTGTTCACTATTTCTTAGAAGTACCCGTTATTACCGATCATGTCTCACATAATAAGCTATTGGAACAAAAATATGCATCTTCTTCTAATTATTCTCCTTCCACGCTTTTAATAAATACTTTTAAAATGCATTTACTAATTCATTTCACAAAAACGGCTTGAAATTTTACAACGTCAAAATACTTATTCCAATTTCCACCATGAAACCACCACTATATTACTTGCTTACAGAACCGTGCGCACAGTGCGCGCAGTTTTATCGTGACGTCAGAGGGTGCTTCCTCAGTGGCGCCCCCTGGCGGGGAACGCGTGCAAAAAGTCCAGCTCTTAGGCATGTCCCCCCTTCCGGGCCCGCGAGGGTTAATGCATGGTTAAACTCAATACGTCTATGCATGAAACCTGAAACCAAAATAATTTTGAATGACAACATCTAGGGACAAGGTGCTCATGGATTTTGCAGATCGGCGTTATCAGACAACAGTCGGGTCAGTCTCAAGCTTGCCCCCACTGGCGAAAATTCGTGGCGCCGCCACTGTTTAGAATTAAATATTTTTGTTTATTGTAATTAAATTAAATCTTTTTAACAGTTTTCTTTCATAAAACCAATCCATTTATTGAATGGCCAGCTGATTGCGACGCCCAGAACCTGCAGAAAAGCCGTTTTCCTATCGCCATTTTCGAGTCAATTCGCCGAATTTAATCAAATCACACCAATTCCTAGTGAAAAATGGAAGCCTTTTCTCTCCATTAAGTGGACGCGATACCGCAAGTACGGCTCGTTATACCGTTTTTCACCCCTAGTAGCGGGGCTGCATTTATGCCCATATATGGTCATCAAAAGTCCATTTATTGACCAATCCATTTTTTGACGTTCGCCTCGTAGTTTCCCCAACTGATTTGGGTAAATATATGGTCCTTAACTCTAAAATGTGCAGTTTGCACTATGCAATATTGCAATCAATGCAGTGTGTTAGTAGCTTGATACCTGTAAAACAAGAAACCACACCCATTAACAACCAAACATGACATGCCTTCTGAAGGGGGGTCTACTTTGCTTCGCCATAGGTCCAGTACTGATGCCATTGGTTTCAATCCTGGTGACGTCAGTGCTGTCTACATCTAGGAACTGCTTGCACTTGGTTCTGATTAGAGGTGGCCATACTGTTTTGTCTTGTGACGACACATTTGTGTCATCGGGATCAAAACTGGCTGTAAACAAATCGCTCAGTGTCGCTACCTAGTACCTATGGCCTTGAGTAAATAGTGTACTGGTGCTTTTGAATTTGTTTGTAGACAGAATAAGTATCAGAAATCAAAATGAAATCAGGTCTTACTAAGACCTTACTAATCTTGCTAAGTCTTAGTAAGATTAGTATACTATTAGTTCTTTTATTCTAAGACCGTCTTAGAATATCTTGTGAATGGCTTTTATTTATCCGTCTGTTTTGCGGACCTCAAGTAAACAAATACCCACAACCCTACAATCTTAATAAATATCGAATGCTGCCAGCCTATTTCAATTTTGAAAAGCACAACACGAACATGAACGACGACAGCAATGCTGATTGTGATGCCAATTCAAATTCATTACTCAAGAAGCTATCAAAAATGGCTGATACCAATCACTAATCAAAGTAGAATTTGACATTAAATTTCTTCTTCAAAATCACCAGTTGATGGGTTTATTTAAAATGATTAAGCGAAAACAGAAAACCGCATCATCCACCATCCCAAAATTGTCAAAAATATTTTTTGGTTTTGCACATGCGAAGAAACGACGTCTATCAATTCAGCAGCAACGAATATCAGCCTCACAGCAGTATATTTCGGGGTCTTTCGATTTGGCTGAAAATCGGTATACAGGGCCTCCTCGATGCGCTGATTCCGAAAATGTACCTCTTTGGGGTGGTATTTTGCACCGTTAACGAGTTAACGACCAATTAACATTTTAACGGGAAATGGCGGGGTCTTTCGATTTGGCTGAAAATCGGTATACAGGGCCTCCTTGATGCGCTGATTCCGAAAATGTACCTCTTTGTGGTGGTATTTTGCATCGTTAACGAGTTAACGGCCAATTAACATTTTAACGGGAAACGGCGCGGTCTTTCGATTTGGCTGAAAATCGGTATACAGGGCCTCCTGGATGCGCTGATTCCGAAAATGTACCTCTTTGGGGTGGTATTTTGCACCGTTAACGAGTTAACGGCCAATTAACATTTTAACGCGAAACGGCGGGGTCTTTCGATTTGGCTGAAAATCGGTGTACAGAGCCTTCTCGATGCGCTGATTCCGAAAATGTACCTCTTTGGGGTGGTATTTTGCACCGTTAACGAGTTAACGACCAAATAACATTTTAACGGGAAACGGCGGGGTCTTTCGATTTGGCTGAAAACCGGTATACAGGGCCTCCTCGAGGCGTTGATTTAGAAAATATGCCTCTTTGGGGTGGTATTTTGCAACGTTAACGAGTTAACGATCCGTTGACATTTCAGCAGCATATATAATCGATTTCAGCAGCAAATTTTCGGGGTCTTTCGATTTGGCTGACAATCGGTATACAGGGCCTCCTCGATGCGCTGATTCCGAACATGTACCTCTTTGGGGTGGTATTTTGCACTGTTAACGAGTTAACGACCAATTAACATTTAAACGGGAAACGGCGGGGTCTTTCGATTTGCCTGAAAATCGGTATAAAGGGCCTCCTCGATACGCTGATTCCGAAAATGTACCTCTTTGGGGAGTATTTTGCATCGTTAACGAGTTAACGGCCAATTAACATTTTAACGGGAAACGGCGGGGTCTTTTGATTTGGCTGCAAATCGGTAAACAGGGCCTCCTCGATGCGCTGATTCCGAAAATGTACCTCTTTTGGGTGGTATTTTGCACCGTTAACGAGTTAACGACCAATTAACATTTTAACGGGAAACGGCGGGGTCTTTCGATTTGGCTGAAAACCGGTAAACAGGGCCTCCTCGATGCGTTGATTTCGAAAATATGCCTCTTTGGGTTGGTATTTTGCACCGTTAACGAGTTAACGATCCGTTAACATTTCAGCAGCATATATCGATTTCAGCAGCAAATTTTCGGGGTCTTTCGATTTGGCTGAAAATCGGTGTACATGGCCTCCTCGATGCGTTGATTCCGAAAATGTACCTCTTTGGGGTGGTATTTTGCACCGTGAACGAGTTAACGATTAACATTTAAACGGGAAACGGCGGGGTCTTTCGATTTGCCTGAAAATCGGTATAAAGGGCCTCCTCGATATGCTGATTCCGAAAATGTACCTCTGTAGGGTGGTATTTTGCATCGTTAACGAGTTAACGACCAATTAACATTTTAACGGGAAACGGCGGGGTCTTTCGATTTGGCTGAAAATCGGTAAACAGGGCCTCCTCGATGCGCTGATTCCGAAAATGTGCCTCTTTGGGGCGGTATTTTGCATCGTTAACGAGTTAACGGCCAATTAATATTTTAACGGGAAACGGCAGGGTCTTTCGATTTGGCTGAAAATCGGTGTACAGGGCCTTCTCGATGCGCTGATTCCGATAATGTGCCTCTTTAGGGTGGTATTTTGCACCGTTAACGAGTTAACGACCAAATAACATTTTAACGGGAAACGGCGGGGTCTTTCGATTTGCCTGAAAATCGGTATGCAGGGCCTCCTCGATACGCTGATTCCGAAAATGTACAGCCCACCGCTAAAGTAATGTAGGGTTTTACCAATCTCAACGGTTGGCTTTGACTGGCGATTGTTTAATGCGGAGTGATCGGAACATCTGAGATGTCAATAGCTAAAGTTGCAACTGCAAGGGTGACGATACATATAAGCTACATTCAAAGTTTCATTGTAGTCTGGTTAATCGTTCCTAAGCTTCAGAAGCAGAACATACCCATGACTTAAACCGCACATTACTTCTGCTGTGGACTGTACCTCTTTGGGGTGGTATTTTGCACCGTTAACGAGTTAACGGCAAATTAACATTTTAACGGGAAACGGCGGGTATTTCGATTTGGCTGAAAATCGGTGTACAGTAGGTCTATTAAAAAAGTCCCCAGCACCAGTGGGCGCTGCATTCGCTGAGCCGAACCCCCGTCTGCCCGTCCCATATCGCGCCGGGCTCAGGTCAGGTAGGGTCAGCGGGACCGCTCGGTCCGGCCCGCGGGCGGTGGACGGGCGGCCGGTAACGCTTTCCGCCAGCCAGCCGTAGAATCCAACAAACGGGACGGCCACCGCTCAGCGCAGCGAAACCGGTGTTAAAGAATGGCAGTGTTACCGGTGTTAAAGAATAATCATTCATGGCCACAATGATTATGGTATAGTCATTGTTAGCCCGTGCCCACAGGAATGCCTAGACTGTCACGCCCTGTTGGAGGGGAAATGGGGATTGAGCATCATTCTTATAACTCAGCTTTGGGCATTTAAGTGGTATTCGAAGTAGCGTCAAAAGTAGCAAAAAGCAGAAAAAAATACTTCAGCCAATTTTAGATCGGGTCGGAGCAAAAGATCATGTCACCAGAGGTCATCGATGGTAAAATTTTGCTTGGACAGGGTGCGTTGCGCGCACCGGTGCATTGGGTTTCCAATTTCCATGGAAACATCAACAGACTCGGAAGCTCGTAACGCTAGCGTGGAGCCGAATTCATATCAACCGCCGCAACAATGCATGGCAGCGCAGCGCAGCGTGCTGCAGAGCGGGGCCGTGAAACATCGCCCAGGGCTATCCATGTGTCAGGGCAATCCAACCCACGTGATGGGCTCGGCCCCAGCGGAGCATGAGGCCCAGAACTCCCGCCCAGGCCCCCTGTCTCCCCCTAATTCCTGTCATCCTTCCCACTCTGAAATCGACCGAAAAAGCCTAACCTTACACAACAAGCAGCTTGTTTACCGCTATGTCTGAATAATATTGTCAGATTTAATTAAGGTCAACGGCTTAGCACGTAAATAACAGCAACTGCCGTCTGCCACCATCGGTATTATGAGAAAACCAATTGCTTTTCCACAAACACTAAAAGTTTTAAGCTAAACTTGCATGAAATTAATTTTACCAGCCTCGTGTTCCTCTTATCAAAACTTGATCAAAACGCTTCGAATGAATCAAAAGTTGATCTTTAAAGGTCATTTGAATAATTTGGCCTATGTTCAAAGACATGACCTGACTAGAAATGGTCATGATGCATAGCAGGATATTAGATCCGTATCGTGGAACTTTACAAACACTTTAGATGATTTCATAACTTAAGCATGTCTATCAAAATGTTTATTACATGACTCATGTGTAAGCTGGGTGTGTGATCATGCTTACGAGTATGTTGAACGCAACTGATAATGTTCTGTTGGCCACAATTTCTATATTTAATTTATCCTCCCGGATTTCATATTTTTATTAATGACACCCTGACGATGTCGAGAAAAAAAACGCTTAGGAGATTTAACAGCCTGAGATACATTCAGTATAAGGAAGGGTCAAGTCTAGGGTTACTTTTACAGGAAAACTCGAGAGGGGGAATTAAGTTCGGGGCAAGGGCGGATCCAGGGGCATCTGAAAGGGGGGCCCAATGCCATTAGGTTTTTGTTAGGATGGCACCTGCAGAACCTTACCTACCCCCAAATCCTACTCTCTCCCCGGATTCTGGCCACTTTATATTGTTAGGTTGCAAAAAAAAAAAATTAGCTAAAAAATATACGTAGGTAACCTTGGCGGTAAGGGGCGGGGGAGGTCCCAACTTGACTGCGCCCTTGCAAATGTCAATCAGTAGTATCAACCTATTACCCTGGCCAAACATCAATTAGCGCCTTTCTAAATAGAGAGAGGTTAACACGTGACTATTTTTGCTAGGCCAAGACCGATTGAAGGACCCTGGTTCGAAGGAAGACCCCTGGTTCGCAGCGTGTTATGCGTGTTAATGTAAGAGGTCATGACCCCCGTCCCTCGCCAGTTTCTACGCCGACGCCTGTAGCGATATGTCAGTGATTGCGAAGAGACG